AGTTGAAGAAGCTCAAAGGTTCTTTGATGTCCGAATAAAACATATCTTCAGAGAGATAAATTTAGTCGCTCACTCCCTTGCTCACCTTGAACTAAATTTGAATAATTTTAGATCTTTTCGTCTCCTCAAATGTTACCTACCTTTATAAGCACCTTAATTGACCTTGATAAAAATGTTATTCCCCCCTTTAGATATTAATTGTTTCTTCTATTTCTTTTTCATTGTATGCTCTAGCTTTTTTGGAAAATTGGGTAAGGTCTAGTACTCTAGTCCTCTCAATTTTCTTTTCTCTATTTTTGTTGTTACTCTTGTATTTTGGAGAGGAATGTCTCTCTGTTTTGGTTTGGTCCTCTCTTCTAGTGTATCCTTCCTTTTTAATAAACTTCTGTCAAATGTTTCCCGAAATTTGTCCACTCATTTTGGTGGTTTGCCCTTCGCGATTAAAAAAACATTAAACATAGGTAAAGCATAAAAAATTAAATAACACTAAAATATATTATTGAAAGTAATATTACTGGAGTTATATATTATTTCCGGACAATTAATTTTAATAGTTTTGAACCATTTTCACTAAAAATCCTTGTTACGATTTTGTTAAGATTTTGCTACGATTTTATACGATTCTATTACAATTTTGTACGACTTTATGAGTTTATGATTTTACCCTGCCATTTAAACCGATTTATTAATGTAGAATCGTAAAATAGTACGATTTTACCATTTCGAGATTTTAAGAACCTTGGTATGGACCTGGTTGGACAGTTCGGGGATGGACACCTGATCTAGAAGCCCTCCCAAGATGATAGTTTCTCCTTATCAACTGCATATCAAGAAATCAGAATTTCATACTCATCAACTTTTTCATTTTATCATATTTGGCATCGAGAGTTTTTTTTACCCATTAAGATTTTCATGTGGAAGTTTTTCCATAACATTCTCCCTCTCCCAGATAACGTAGCTCGCTTTGCTATGTATTTTTCCTTCCCAGTGCCCCTTCTGCAAGCAGCGGCGGACGCGGGATTTCCCGATAGCGGGGGCGGCAGTACAAGAATATACATACAAATACATATATATTAAAAATTTCGGGATAAATATATCTAGAATTTTTTTCCGGAGGGGCGGTAGCCCCCCATAGCCCCCTTTGTGTTCGCCACTGTATGCAAGAATGATGGAATTTTGACCTCCCACATTTTCATTCAGTGTAAAAATAATTAAGCCTATTTGGGAATATTTCATGGGCCTTTTCTTTATGTCTATTCCTCACAACAATGTTTCCTACACACACTTTTGTTTTGCCTGGTGCCAAGTATAATTTTATGGCAGATTTGGAAGGCCTATGTTGCTGATACCTTTGCAATTTCCATGTCTATGTTTGTGTTTTTAGTTAATTTTGTTGTTTGATACTTTGGAAATTACACACTTTAGTGTAATATTTTAGTTTGTAAAATTATTTGTAATTTGTTTAGATTAGGATTATTCTGAGTTTAGTACATGTCAAAATCATCCCAAGAATCAAAGGATGGATCTTTTTTTTTAATCCCGGAAGGCAAACCACCAAAATCTGTGGGGCAGATGCCGGGATTCATTTGCCGTTATTTTATTGAAAAAATAATTGAGTACAATGAGCGGGGGACCAAACCAAAACCTCCCAAGAAATACAAGCATGAAAATTAATTATATCTGAAATAGCTGAGACCAAGCTTATCCGCAATAAGGGCTTTACGGATATTAGAAGGTAGATCGCTAATTTTAGAAAAAGCAGTAAAATCATCCAAATTTAATTTGGACATAAGATGCATGTGCAGGTCAATTTGCTTCACGCCAAACATGTTTGAATATCATCTCACCTGCGGTCATCCAACTTCTAAGTATCTCCAGAGCATCACCCTTCATCCCTACCAAGTCTTCACCATGAATAGCTTGAATAGCAGCTAATGAGTCTGATTCCACCTCAATATGCGTGAATCCTCTCTTGTACGCCCAAGAAACTGCTTTTTATCAAAGGATGGATCTTAAAGACTAAAGAATGTGCAAAAGAGAGAAGAACAAATGAAGTTTTTGAAATTTGTTCAGTACTCGATCGAGTATTAACCGGATACGCTGGTCAAAATCAAATCTGGGAGCAACAGAACGTGGCTGAATATTTGATGAAAATCTTATCTCATACTCGGTCCAGTATTGGCAATACTCGGTCGAGTATGCCTATTTTTCACAATTTCCTTGAAATTGCCTCTTGTACTTGATCCAGTATCCCATATTCTGGATCGAGTACAGAACCCTGTCACCTCCATTTTGCTATAAATACACCCATTTTCTTTCACATTGATCGGTTTGAACTTGCAAGTGTACAAGTGCCGATATAGTAATAAATTCCGGTAAAATACCGGGTCGAATCCACAGGGAAACGTTGTTTAATTTAGTCTGCGAGTAGATGACTTTGAATAAATAAATGAGTAAAGTGCAGTGATTTTGAATTGTGTGTTGTTGTGAAAACAACAACTTGGTTCTTTTTTTTTTTAATTTTCAGAGATATAACTTAAATTAATTTGATTAAAGTGATTGATAACAACAACTAAGGCTTCAGGAATCACTTAAATGCTTTAATAGGGTTGAATATTAGTTCTTTACCAATAATTATGAATACGATGTCCCTAATATATTCTCTACTCCGGTTAAGGCAGCGAGAGCGTGGTTTTCGTTACGTGTAAGTCCCGTTATGGCTTACATTCATCTACCGAAAACCCCGCTGAATATCAAGACACCACACCCGTATCATATAATACCGGATATATTTCTATTCTCGGTAATATATATGTTTATCCTTTAATGTTCATAGTTTAGACCTCAACGTTAATTGCAAGCATAAACTAAGTTTAACATACTTCTATGTTGTACACCATAGTCATAAACAATCAAAATGTAAAGGATAAATCACAATTTATTGGTTTAGAACTTTTATCAAACACCTAATTGGCATAGAAGTTCATCCCTAGCCTTAGATAAGAAATTAGCCTCTAATGCTCATATTAATCACAATACAATATGAAATGTAATGGAACGTGAAATTACAAAGGAAATAATACCTAAACACCAATGGTTTTGGAGGTTGAAGTTTCCTCCTCAAGAACTTGAAGAAAATACCAAGAACAAAAATATAAAAGCTAAGAATTAATCTATGAAATGGAATGTGTTTGCTTGATGAATTGAAGGCTTTATATAGGCTAAAGAATGACATCTTGTAGTCTATTCGAGCCCAACAATCAGGTATGGAGCAATATTTGATCAAGAGATGAGGAAGGTGAAGTTTTCCCATAAAAAATCCTCTTGCACGTTTCTGTGTTTTAGCAGAAAGTCGTCCCAACCGGCCCCGGTCAGTCTAGAACCGGCCCCGGTTGCAAATAGGCTCGTTTAGTGCGAAAATACCTTCCGACCGGCGTCGGTTTATGCCTGACCGACGCCGGTTGTTGCGCCCAAAAATGTCGGTTTTTGCCCCGGGATTTTGGGGATGTTCCGCTATGAATTTGGACATTATTCCTTCACCAAAGTTGTAGATAATGAAGTCTTCTATCCACCAAAACTTGAATGACGTGAGTTTATTCATCCAATCAAACGTTATGGCCAAAATACTGAGAGGTCTGCATCCTGAAATCCCACCAGCAACATCTGACTTTGTTGGTTGATTGAGTCTTGTTCCTTTCATATTTTGGCCATGACGTCTTTATCATAGCATTAGATTCATCTCTAACAGACTCTCTCCACTCCTCATGCATCATAGCCTCTTCATAAGACCGCAGAACCCAGTTCTCGTCTAAGCTTATCATGAAAGTACAATGATCTTTAGGATACTTAGCAAAAGAGCATACAGCTTGAGAGGGATGTTCCACAGCCTGAGCATTGTAGTACACTCTCGTGTTCACCCACTTGGAAGGATTCCTTACCCGTGTGCTTCTTCTCAAGGGAACAATCGGTTCAGGTGGTTCAGGTTCAGAACTTCCTGATTCCACAATCGGTTCAGGTTCAACTTGTTCTGGTTCCTCAATAGATTCAGTAGCAACTTCTTTATCCCTACTTTGATCAGGTTCAGTGTTGATTAAGCTTTGATCTTCTTGACCTCCAGCCTCAGGTTCTTCTCCTCCCTCATGATCGAAGTGTGTTGGTTCTTCAGTTGTATGTATACTAGGTGGAGGATGCCTTCTCTGATCTTGGGACATTCCAATCCCAAGTCCTTCAAGTATAATCTTCAGACTAGCAGCTTTATCTGATGGTCGAGATAGGTCCTCCAGATCTTCCCAATTCTGTCCTTCATAATATCCCTTTTCTTCCATGAACTTCACCTCTCTGGATACTAATACTTTGCTAGTATCCGGATCAAAGCACTTATACCCCTTATGTGGTGTAGAGTACCCAATGAACATAGCCTTGGTACTCTTTGCTTCAAGCTTGTTCCTCATCTCACTTGGCACCATAACATAGCAAACACATCCAAATACTCTCAAGTGATCCAGGACAGGTTTGTTCTTATTCAGAACCTCAAAAGGAGACTGATCATCTAGTATCCTTGTTGGTATCCTATTGATTAGATAGCACGCAGCCACAACAGCATCACTCCAATACCTTTTTGGAACATTGGTTTGGAACATCATGGACCTGGCGACTTCCATCAGATGTCTGTTCTTCCTCTCAGCCACTCCATTCTGTTGAGGGGTGTAGGGGCAGCTTGTCTGATGCAAAATCCCATGTAGAGAAAGGTGTTGTTCAAAGGCATTACTTGTGTACTCTCCACCATTATCAGACCTGAAAATCTTTATCTTGGCATTGTAATGGTTAGTCACATAATCTTGAAAATTTTTAAAAGCATCAAGCACCCTATCCTTAGTTTTAATGAGAGTTAGCCAGGTGTATTTAGATTTCTCATCAATGAATGTGACATAATATTTGTAGTTATCTCTAGATAAACAAGGAGCAGTCCAAACATTAGAGTGAACTAAGTCAAAACACTTCTCATAAACAGTAGAAGATCTTTCAAAGACAGTCTTGCAATGCTTTCCCAAAATACATGCCTCACATTCATTATTTTTAAAATTGAAACCAGGTAGCATTAAACCTAAGGCTCTAACATGAGGATGTCCAAGCCTAGCATGCCATAAAGCATCTTTATTCAAAGAGGAAACAGAATTAAAAGAGTAACAAGAGTTAGATCTAGGGACAATGTCTTCAAGCAAATAGAGGTCTCCCCTGGTTACTCCTTGCCCAATCAAGTTACTGCTTTCAATATCCTGAAATTTCACATCATTAGGACTGAAAATAACATTGCAATGTAGATCAGTGGTGCATTTCTTAACAGATAAAAGATTAGAGGTAAACTCAGGCATGTAAAAAGCTTTAGAATCCTTATTAAACAATTTCAATTTCCCAATTCCTTTAATAGGAATTCTATCACCATTAGCAATCATAACATGACCATGAGCAGGTTCTATATCTCTAATAAGTTTGGCATCACTAATCATGTGATGAGAAGCACCAGAGTCAATGATCAAGGGTCCTGTTAATTCATGAGCAATATGAGACCTAGGTGATTCATTTCTAATGCACAAGCTTTCAAGCATATCAAGTAACCTGGTAGAGTTACTAGACATCCCATGAGCAGTATAAGAGTATCCAAGGGTGTTTCTGAGAGGGTTACCATGCTCCTTAAGAGCTTTGATGAGGGATTCAATGTCAGACCTCCTGATCATCTCACTCTCCATGTTCTTCCCTCCCAAGTGGTGTGAGGTCAAAACTCTTCCTTCACTTTCACCCACTTGAGCATTTGAACTAGTTCTGGATGAACCAGTTCCACTTGCTTCAGCAGAAAGATGAGCTCTTGCCTCCCTATCTTTGTTGAACTTTGGCGGCTTGAGGTGAGGATGAAGTATCCAGCATTGGCTCTTCTTGTGTCCTGGTTTCTTACAATGATCACACTCACCCGCAAACCTTTCACCGTACTTCCTTTCTCCCCCTTTGTACATAGCTCGGTTAGCATTAACCTCCTCAGCCTTATGTGCCATGGCAATCTCCTTTTTCCTGCCAAAGAGACCCATGGATCCTTCTTCCTTTTGAAGTTGTGCACAAACTTCCTCCATAATTGGTAATTTTGAGGACCTCAGAAGGTGTGCAATCACATCCTTGTATGACGGAACCAAGGTCAACAATAACCCAAAAACCTGATCTTGTTCTCTCCTTTCAGCAAGGACCTCTGGATCGATGGTGTTGGGTCTGAGGCTTTCAAGTTCAGACCATAAAGATCTATACTTTCCCAAATGTTTGGTGAACTCTTCACCATCCTGCGCAAGAGAGTTGATAGCCCCTTTCAACTCAAACACTCGGCTAAGGTTGTTTTCATTACCAAACGTCTTCTGGAGTGTCTCCCATAGATGTTTAGGAGTCTCACAGTAGCTGTAGGCTTCAAGGAGGGGAACTTCAAGAGAACCTTGTAGCACGGATAGCACCATCAGGTCATCCTGTACCCACCTTTTGTACTCAGTTAAAGCTTGCTCCTTTGCTTTCATGTCTTCATCTTCTTTGTTCATTGGTTTTTTCTGAGCCTCATCTGTGATGTGACTCCATAGCCCTAGTCTTCCAATCGCAGTCTTCACCAGTCTAGACCACAGCAAGTAGTTGCTTCCTCCCTTGAGAGTAATCGGAACTGAAATGACTTTGTTGCTGTCCATCTTTCTTGAACAGGGCAGAAGAACATTGAATGGAGTGGAAGAACCAGCTCGCTCTCAGTACCTAAGCCAACCTGGCTCTGATACCATATGATTTTAGAGAATAACCTAGAATAATGTATCGAGAGCAAGAACCCTAGAAAAACTTATTCTACATAACTCTCCGATTAAACAAATACAGAAGAGAGTTCAAAAGATAAGGGGAAACCAGTTGCACAAAATAAATGGGCCACACTGCCCAGGCCCAATAACAAAGAGACCCAACACAATACAATGGTTAAGAAACCTATAAAACCAACGTAAACTCAACAAATAAAACTATGGGCAGCAAGCCAATTATTACGTTGGGGGCAAACACTTTTTAGCAATTGATTGATTTATTATACGGAATATAAGACAATTTTGAAACTTTGAGCACTATACGAAACAGTCATATATGTACAATCATGTCTACTATATACCAAACCCTGGTAGAATTCCTTAAGCACTATACGAAACGATGTAAAAAAAGCAGTATACGAAACAGTCATGTAGAATCATGTACGTATATATGTGGTGTGATGCTGTGCATGTCAAATTCAATTTGAAGATAATTGAAATTGAGAGCATGCAATCATGGTGAAAGACACTTACATGAAGAGAGATGGGGAAAGCCAACGGAGAGAACTAGAGAAGGGCACACTGCTAGGGATCCTACGAAAGGGTACTGTAATAGGAATTGTGATAGATATATTTATAATAGAAGAGATCCAAAATACAAAGTATTTCTAAATAGATATTAGTCAGATTCCTAAATATATATTAGGTAGATTTCTATATATATTAGGATATTAAGTTCCTACCCCTGAAACAATTTATATATATGTGTGTGTGTGAATATATTAGGAATATTTTCATTGGGCTTATTGCCTAATTTTATCTTTTGTCCTATTTAAATCTAGATTGGTCTGGTTTGTGTAAGGGTGTTCTTATTTGGACTAGTCTGATTTAGTCTGGTCTAGTTTGAGTTGTTCTGTATCGGTATGATCTAGGATGTTTTTACTTCGACTGTAAAAATTTGCTGGTCTGGTCTAGTCTGATCTGGTCTGTTTTGAACTGATTTGGTCTGGTCCGATTTCTTTTATTTTTATAATTATCCAAGTTTGGTTTGGTCTGGTATGATCTGATCTGATCTGATTCGGTCTGAGATTGAAATCAGTCCAAGTAAAAAGATAAAAAAATCTATAATTTGGAAGGAATTTTATTTTATTTTTAATTATCAATGAATAAAAATTAATTATTTATGGATTATAATATATAAATAAAATAAAATAAATCTTTATGCAAAATAATATAAAAAAATAAAATTTCAGACCGGACCAGATCAGACCAGACCATTGTTCTAAAAATCGGCCTAGGCGGACCGATTAATCGGCCTAGGCGGCCTAGTCGGCCCTAACCGTAGAAGCCGAATCGGCCTAGTCGGCCAAAAAATCGGGCTAGTCGGCCTAAAAATCGGCCTAGTCGGCCGCCTAGGCGCTAGGCGCCCCTCAACCGCCCGACTAGCGCCTAGCGAGTTTTAGAACCATGGACCAGACCAACAAATTACAGTCCAAGTAAAAACATCCTACATGTGGCAAATCCGGCCAGTTTATGCAAAAAGGAACAATACTTAAAACAATACTACGTATAATAATAATAATAATAATAATAATAATAAAAAAAAAAAAATAAAAAAAAAATACATAAATAAAAGACCTAATATGTACGGTAGTATATACTTGGCAAAATCAGCATGCTAAAGTGAACCACAGATAGAATCATGCATGTGAAACAAAATACTACCGGTTTTTTTTAATCTTCACAGTTTGACTTCACACAAAATAAGGAAAGAATTTTAACTTTACTGTAGAGTACACTGTTGAGGCATTGTTTGACACTGTTTGGCACTGTAGAGACACTGTTTGGCACTGTTGAGACACTGTTTGGCACTGTTTGACACTATTTTGGTGTAGATTTCTTTGCCAAAAAAGGAAATAAGGAAGTGTGAAGTTTATTTTAGACCGTCCCAAAAATGAAAGTGAGAAGTTCATTAAAAACCGGAAGGAGTAGAAAGGAAGAAATCAGAATTCTCCTAGACACGTGGCTAAGAGTTAAGCCATGGACTAATTAATTAGTAAAAATGTAATAACAATAAATACAAAAATGTATGAATGAGCTGTAGCCTGCAGGACTAGGACACGTAGACAGAAAACGCAATGAAGAGGCAAACAAAATACATGCAAATATAAATACACACTACACCTGTTCATCATGCACGGGAGTTGGGCTGAAGAAGTAAAATAGAATTATTAACACTTAAAAGGGAAAACTGTCAAATAGGTCCTCGAACTTTCATAAAAAGGTCAATTAAGTCCTTCTATAGGAGGTTCTGTCCGGCCGTCGCGATTTGGGGCAGTTCCCGGTGGAATTTTTTGATGAAATTTTTTGAGCATCTTATTCACCAAGTCTAGTTTACTCATACAAAATTTCAGCTAAAAATTCAATCGGGAACACATTCAAATTAATTCTTGAAGATAACTGCGCATTTTCTTCACTCACAATAACTCATGTCCAACACCCGGTGCTTCACATATTCTTGAAATTTTTGGCTAATAGCATCCTTGGGCGCCCAAACAACCACCACACAAGGATGGGTGATTTTTGCTTATTGACCATATCCCAAAATGCAAATGTGACAACCTTTAATTTGTGCAATTTGATTTTGTGCAATTTGATGTGGGCACATCTAAAAAAAAGAATGCACGGCAAAGGGGAGCATTTGGGTGGGAGTAGTAATTATGCATTTGGACACAAAATTTGGCTATACGGATCCTCGTCCTATAGCCGATTACTGTTTGATAAACATTTACTCGAATTAACTAGGACTTTATTATTTGAACTCTATTCCTAGTCACTTCTGGGTAAATGCGCTATACACCGCAACTTTTATCATAAATCGTTTACCTACCCCTGTTTTGCATGGAGCTTCTCCATATCAATTTTTTTTTTAATAAAATGCCTGATTATAATTTTTTGCGTGCATTTGGTTGTTCATGTTTTCCTAATTTTATTGTTGCCTCACACAATAAGCTATCACCATGTTCTACGCACTGTGTCTTTCTTGGGTATGCTCCGGATTATAAATGGTATCGTTGCTTATCTCCCGCCACATGCCGGGTTTATATCAGTTGGGATGTTATTTTCCATGAAAATAGTTTTCCCTATTCTTCTTTAGTGAGCCCATCTCCCTCCTAACCGCCTACCTTCCCATCCTCTTGGCTGTCCTCGTCAGTCTCCGACCACCTTCCCAAGACCCCTGCCATAGTAGCCCTACCGTCCCCACCCAAAAATTCACCACCAATTAGCACCAACTCCAATCTGACCTCCCCTCCCAGCTCACCGACCTGCAGCAACTCACCCCACAACACCCCTCCGCATACCCCTGCTGCCAACACACCCAGTATACTGCCATCGCCTCCCATCAGTTTTTCTACACCGCAGACCACCACACTTATTCCAGAGAACACCAACAACTATCCCACAACACCCTCAGCTTCTCCTCCCTCGTCCCGCACCAGTGACAGTAACCACACTCCTTCCTGTCCTCGGCAGCAGACCTCCCAACCTCCCATGCACCTGTCAATGTTCATCCCATGCGTACACGCGCAAAGGATGGCATTTTCAAGCCCAACAATATTTTTACCTTAAGTGTCTTGTCTCCCCCAGATGTTCCTACATGTTTTACACAGGCAAATAAGAGTTTTATTTGGCGGGTTGCCATGACAGATGAATTTAATGCTTTTATTAATAATAAGACTTGAGATTTGGTGCCTTGGGACCCTACTAAAAATGTGGTTGGTTGTAAGTGGATTTATAAGACAAAATATTGTTCTGATGGATCTGTTGAGCGGCATAAAGCCCGTTTAGTTGCTCAAGGCTTTAAACAACAGGCTGAGGTTGATTTTACTGAAACTTTTAGTCATGTTGTTAAGCCGACCACGGTTCATCTTGTTTTATATGTGACTATCTATTTGGGCTGGTCTGTTCGTCAGTTAGATGTGAAAAAAGCTTTCTTACATGGTTTCTTAACTGAGGAAGTCTATATGTGTCAATCTCAGGGCTTTATTCATCCTTCCTATCCTAATCATGTGTGTCACCTACGCAAGGCTCTTTATGGTTTGAAACAAGCTCCAAGAGCTTGGTTTCATCGTTTCAGTGGGTTCTTGTTGAGTCGTGGTTTTTCACAAAGCAGGCCCGATTCATCCACATTCATTTATCGTACTGAGTCTCACGTGGTTTACATGCTTTTATATGTGGATGACATTATTATTACAGTTTCTTCTGCTTCTTTTGTTTCCTCTATTATCACCACTTTATCTAATCATTTTGCAATGAATGATTTGAGGGACATTCATTATTTTTTGGGTGTTCAAGCTCAACGCACACCTAAGGGTCTCGTCTTGTCACAAGCTAAGTATATATCTGATCTCTTACGTCGTTTTCATCTTCATACTGTCAAGCCTGTCCGCACCCCCTCCCTTCACGCACTACACTCTCTCTCACAGATGGGGAACTTTTAGCTGATGTTACTGAGTATCACGGTATGGTAGGTGCTCTTCAGTACTTAACCATTACTAGACCTGATATTACTTATGTTGTACACCTTGTGTTCAGTTTATGTATGCTCCACGTACTACTCATCTTTTTGTTGTTAAGAGGATTTACAGGTGTTGGTCCCGGTTATATATATACAAGGAACAATCTAGGGGGGGGATGAATAGACCGTTGTAGTTTTTAACTTTTTCAAGCTAAGTACCAAGTTTGACAAAATAGCCTATTCTGTTGAAGAACAGACTGACAACGGATGAGGTTTTGTCCGGTTAGCCTCACTGAGGTGCAAAGGCAATAGGCCTTCTGTTAACTCACAAGACGTGTCATTATTATAATAGTCGAATGACCAAAATTGTCACTTTATGAAAGACGGAGGATTAAATATGGAAATTTTCAAAGACGGGTACCAAAAGTGTCTCTATCACAATAGTCCAACATTAAAAGTGGAATAAATCAAAGTCGGATACCAAAAGTGTCAATGACATAATAGTCTAATGACTAAAAGTGGCAAAAACACTTACTTGGTATTTATATTTTAACTTCATTGTTGTGATAAAATTTGATTTGATTTGTGGTTCTTATTGAATAAAAATCCGTGATCAATGGATAATGAAGTTATTGTTGATTAGTGATACTATGTACTCCCTTCGTCCCATTTATATTGTCTCGTTTTACCTTTTCGGGAAGTCATACTTAAATTGTCCCATATCATATTTGGCAAAGTTTGTGTGACTCTAAATCATTCTTACTTTATTCTTACTTTATCAATTAATATCAACCACACAAACTCACTTTTCTTAATAAACGTGTCACCCTTTTTCGGGACAATATAAATGGGACGGAGGTAGTATTATTTTAGAAAAAATTTATATTTATATGATGTGGTTACCAGCGGGAAAACGATTTTCCGTTCCAACTCTGTAGTTCGGGTAAAAAATTACTACTCCATAGCAAAGTTTTAAATAGCCGTAGCGGTAGCGGTAGCGGTCATCGCGGTAGCGGCCTGTAGCCGACTGTAGCGATTGCAGCGGCGTGAAATATTTTCAATTGCGCAAAACATATATTTAATGAGTGTTGAAGTTAATACAAACATTGTGAATATTTGTTTGAACACTTATAACATTAAGAGTTCATTTACACAATATAGACACATTTACGCATCAACCCGTTCGTGACGTACTGCCGGAAATGTCAATAGCGGCGGTAGCGGGCGGCGTAACAGATTTTTCCCGTGATTTGGAATTCAGAGCGGAATAGTGGGTCGGAGCGGTAGCGGCCGGCCAGCCCCTGCCGCTATAGCCGTAGCGGGCCGCTATTTAAAACCCTGCTCCATAGTACTCCGTATATAACTGGGGAGGTACCGGTAATGGTATACCGGCCCGTAAGTCCGTAACCGCCCCGCTGCAACTAGGGGTGGTTCGGTACGGTATACCTTATATTTTTTCTCATACCTTTACCGTACCGAAACTTTCGGTATGCAAAATTTGCATACCTTTACCTTACCGAAGTTTCGGTATACCGAAGTTTCGGTTCGGTAACGGTACGGTATCAGTAAATTACCGTGCATGTCTCCCAATACAAAAAATTATCATAGACTAACGAAATATACTAAATCGTTATTACTAGCGACATATTAAATCCATTATTAAAGTGTTACGAGGTACAATTAATAATCTATTGATGTCAATTCAATATTAAACAATAATTATTATTAGTATATTTATGCAGTTCAACATGCAACATATTAAAAAGTAACACATTCTCCTAAAATAACTTGAACAATATGGATATAATTAAATCAATAGTGATTTCTAACAAGAATAAATAAAACTATTCAAACAACATGGATATAAAATCATTTATTCCTAATATGATATTGTGTATTTAGTCATTTTTATAATTTTTTTAAAAATTGAATTAGACTTTCGGACAAAGTTTTGTGTCTCGACTCGCGAAATCCCTATGTAGATACACTTATCACATAAGTGTATCTCTCTTCACTCGTCAGCTACTTAGCGGCCTAGTCATCACGACTTGCAAGCTCTTGGAACAAGATGAACTTTTTTCTTGACATTTGTACATTACTCATTAGTCATTAAGGTTAGCGTAGTAGAAGTCTATAAGGTTATAGTGAGTTTGAGAAATTGAGCCTTTATTTTTGTATTTTTGTATTTGTAACCAACTTAAGTATTAATTTTGGGCTTCAAAATTGTAATGGATTTTTACAATATATTAGAATTAAAAGTAATTGTTGAGTAGGGAGTCGGTACGGTATTATACCGGTATACCGCGGTATTTGAAAACATTTACCGTTACCGTACCGAAATAGATCGGTACGGTATGATACCGTACCGAAAATAACGGTATACCAATATTTCGATATTTTCCGGTATTTTTCGGTACGGTAAGTGGGATATACCGATTTTTCGGTATTTTTGCCCACCCCTAGCTGCAACTCCCCGTTGCTTGATTCATTCACTTTTCTGCTACGCTCTAACTCCATATTACGAGTGAATATCTGTCCACAGTTATTTCATCGTCTCTTAGAAGTTGGCTGGCCAGCGGTGGGTTAAAACTAGAAGCTGTCACGCCATAATTGAGCGAGGCGCCGAGGTGGCCGTTTGGGTATGTTGGCGCATGTGACGCAGAGTTTTGCGGGAATATGTCAGATACTTCTTTGTCACCCCAATTTATTGGTTCCTTCTTTAAATTCCTTTATCCCATTCCCATTGTCTGGCTTCCGATCCCATTCTATTCATTACTCCTCTGGTTCTAGGAGCAGCAGATACAGATCTATCTCTTTCTCTCTCATGGCTTCTTCCGGTCGCAGCTCTCCTATTCACAGCTCCCATTCCTGCATCCCCGCTACTCATCAACCATCATTGGTTGTTTTTTCAGGCATGTTATGTTCGTGTTTTCATTTTTGTGATTAATTTCTGATTCGTTTGAGATTGGGATCCGTGAATCACTCACTTTTCCTGTTTAATTGTTCCCATTTTTATTTGTGATGGGATAATAAGTGGGCAAAATATTAGAAATTTCCTTAAGTGATTTGACTTCTACATTTCTTAAAATTTTCATGTACTTAGAAGCATTTGTTGAGAAGATTGAGATAAAAAAGTGATTATGATTGTCCTACTTTTTTTGAAAAATAAGCAGAACCCGAATCAATTCCAAACACCTCCAAAAAAACCTACTTACATGAAACAAAATTAAAACCTTTCCGCTCGTTTCTGCAAGTTCAATGACACCAAACTTCCAGGCACAGAGAAATTACCACTCCGCCACCCACCATACTCCTAATAGCAGTGTAGATTTACTCTTATTAGCAAACATCCTATAAGAAACCCTCTTGTAAGAAACTTCTTCTACTATAAGTATATATCTGTTGGGCAGTTAGATTTAGCTGATTAGTATTCTCAAATGGTATCAAGAGTTTAGGTATTATACTTATTTAGGGCGATTTTTTTTGCAAAATATTGAGTGTGGTGCATAAGTACATTAGGCATTTGATGATCTTAATTTGTGTATTCATATACACGACTTGAACAATGAAGTGAAAGGAGAACCTCTAGTTCAACCAATTGAAATGAAATTCGAATGCTGTATACTTGTTGATTGTTATTGGGTAATCAATATGTGATGGATGAAAGCTTAACTTCGCGTATTAAATGGCTTGTGCTTCTTGTTTTATACAAATGCAATGCCTTTTAATTTCCATGCCGAGTTATGACAATCACTACATTGGGATCTGACAAGTTGTGAGCGTACAGGTGGAACAGCTTTTAATTGTGTAGCTGAAGAGCTTAAGAAGTTAACTACTCGTGTCACTCACGTTCTCCCTGTGTCTGATGATGGTGGAAGTACATCTGAAATTGTCAGAGTTCTTGGTTAGTTTCATATCATTGATCTTCTCAATCTTCTTTGTTGCTGGTCCTTATTCTTCTGGTTTACCACAACCCTCAATTTTGCGACCGTAAATCATTGTATTAGTTTGAAAAGACTAATCAATGTAATTTTACTGATTTTAACATTATATTGGAGCATTTCATATCTGCAAACTCCCGATTTACTGAACTACTCTCTGGCTAGGTAAGAGTAATACTGCCAAAGAAGTAACCAGTAGAAGTACTTAAGGGCTGTTCTGTTCATCTTATATCTTTTTCTTGTTACTTATTCTGATTTTAATCAATTCAGATTTCAGACCTAAATAGATAAAAAAGATTCGAATTAGACCACATGATATGTTTCAGAATAAAAACTAGACCTGTGAAAACCCTAGTAGTATTGGGCTTAGCCCATTTGTATATCTTGCATAGGAAACCCTAGTACTCTAAATATAGCTATAAATATAGCTTCTTGTATAGCACTTTATCATCAAGTATATGAAATACAACAATACTTGTTCACATGGTATCAGAGCCAATACGACAAATATAATTAGTTACTGTTATTATTCGTCTGCCGGGCAGAAATTCCGGGCAGAATCTCTCCGGCCATAAATTCCGGCGTGAATAGTGGTCGTGGATGGTGTGCTTTCGGTAGTGATATAAACCTACCGTCCTCTTCACCTCAACATCCCGACTTACCGCCGAGAAAATCACCGCTGCCGCCTCATCCACGCGCCGCCACGCGCCGATGCAGTTGGACCCGCAGTTGAGCGTTTTTCGTAGATCTCTGCCTTTCTATTCATCTGCTGTGTACACCACCAACCACCCGAGAATCCTGAGATTCCGGCGACCAGGAAGGTATGGGTTAGCGCCGCCGCCGACTGACCACGCGCCGCCACCTCTTCCGCTGTCCACACGCGCCGCCGTCCACACGCGCCGCCGTCGCCCAGATCCGGTGTCATCCACACACCACCGCTCGTCCGTATGCACTGCTTCTGTCGCTGCCTTATTTCGCCTCTCCCGGACTGAGGTTGGTTTTTCATACTCCCTGATTTGCTTCTACTGCTCATCTTCCCAGCAGTCTCTTGGTCAACACACAGCTGCTGCCTGAAAGTTACTGGTTTTCTATTATTTGCTGCACTCTGCTGCCTTGAAGCGTTCATCCCTTCAGTAGGTTTTATTTTTGATTTCTCGTTTGTTTTGCTAATATTAGTTAGCTTTTTACTCTTCTTTAAAAAAAAAAAAAGAAAAAAAAAAGAAAAAAAAAAAGAAAAAAAACCAGTATTAAAAAAAATGTCTTTTATGAGTTCTGACAGAGGAAACAACACCGGATACTCAGATGGAATCGTCCCAAATGTGATTTTTGTCATAAAATTGGTCATACTAAAGACAAGTGTTGGAAATTACATGGGAGACCTCCTCCCTCAGCCCATGTTGCTCAGCTACCACCATCTCCCATTGTTCTACCACCAGAAGAATATGCAGCATATCAGCAATTTAAGTTGGCTAATATGCTTTTATCCACACCCGGGATGTCTACTGCTTGTGTTTCAAACACAACATGCTCATGGATCATTGACTCAGGTTCCTCAGACCATATTTCTGGTAATCCCCATCTTTTATCCCATATTACCAAGGACCGACATCTTCCTTTGATTACTCTTGCTAATGGCCTTCAAACTTCAGCTTCGGGTATTGGGCAAGCACTTCCATTTTCATCCTTACCATTAGACTCAGTCTTATATGTCCCAAACACCCCTTTTAACCTTGTCTCTGTCAGCAAAATTACACGTGCTCTTAATTGTTCTGTAACATTTTCAGCTGATTCTGTAATTGTGCAGGACCGTTGTACGGGGAAAACAATAGGCGTCGGACATGAATCTCAAGGTCTGTATCATCTCCGTCCGCTTGATCCAATCGCTTGTGTTTCAGTTGAATCCGCTATTACCTTACATAACCGTCTGGGTCATCCTAGTCTCTCAAAGTTTCAACGTATGGTACCAGGTTTCTCAAATCTTTCATCTTTAGATTGTGAGTCATGTCACCTTGGAAAACAACCTCGTAAATCCTTTCCAAGGCGAGTCAATAAACTGGCTACATCACCGTTTGATTTAGTTCATACAGATGTATGGGGTCCGTATCGAGTCACTTCTACTTTAGGTTTCCGTTATTTTGTTATTTTTGTGGATGATTTTTCCCGTTACACATGGATGTTCTTAATGAAAGAGCGTTTTGAATTGTTTCACATTTTTCAAACTTTTTGTGCTGAAGTTCAAACTCAGTTTGGTCATTCTATTAAAATTTTACGCAGTGACAATGCTAAATGTAAAACTGTATAGTTAGATTAATTTGTAGATAAATACTTAGTCTTATCTGATGTAAATCTCACACGTATGAGATAAAGATAGTTAGGTAGTCAGATCCTAATTTTTAGGATCTCATCATTTAGTTTGTTAGACTTGTATCCTATATATATTGTACCCGGGTGATGGAATAAATTAAGTCATTCTATTCTCTCAAACTTACATGGTATCAGAGCGGGCTGTTTAAACACCACAATGGTGGAAACCGAGCACTCTGGTTCTTCCCCTCACTCACAAACCCTTCACCCTAACTCCCAAATTAGCCAAATGACAAACTATCATGCCTCGATTAATTCATCTATGCTCATTACTGGACATAGATTGAATGGAACTAATTATCTAGAATGGTCACAGTATGTCAAGCTGGCAATTGATGGAAGAGGAAAGCTGGGATACATAACGGGTGAGATAGCAGAGAAGAAAAGTGGTGATGATGGCTACAGTGTCTGGAGGTCAGAAAACTCTTTGGTAACAGCCTGGCTTCTCAGTTCAATGGATGCATCAATCGCCAAACCTCACATGTTCATGAAAACTGCAAAAGAGGTATGGGATTCCATCAAAGAAACCTATTCAGATCTTGAGAACTCTTCTCAGATTTATGAATTAAAAACAAAGCTGTGGCAGTCTAAACAAGGCAGTAGAGATGTCATCTCATACTATAATGAGATGGTATCCCTATGGCAAGAGTTAGACCAATGCTATGATGCTGAAAAATGGGAAAGTGCCAAGGATCTGGCAAGACACAAAAAGAGGGAAGAAAATGATAGGGTCTATATGTTCCTAGCAGGAATTAATAGAGACCTGGATGAAGTTAAGGGAAGAATACTTGGAAAAAAACCTCTACCTTCAATCAGGGAGGTATTTTCTGAAATCAGGGTGGAAGATAGTAGGAAAAAGGTCATGAATAACACTTCAGTCCATCATGATGATCCAGGAGAGTCCTCAACAATGATTGCCAAAGGAAATGAGAAGAAAAAGCCTTGGTGTGTGTTAGGAACTCAACCCAAGCAGTAGAAAATTAGCAATATATTGAAGAAGGTCGCAGAGTTACAATGGCGTGCAAGACAGAAAGAGAAGAAACAGGTTGGGACACTTCGAGAGGTCCCGCTCTCCCAGCCGATTCTACTCCATTCCTCCCCTCTCTTCCTCTATTCCTTCTATTTATTCTTTTCTAATGAGGCTTCCCCTCAATCTAACTACTTACTTGGCCCAGCCCATTTCCTCATTACACTTTATTAAAATATTCATTATTATATCTATTACATCTCACGCCATAAGCCCACATAAGCCCATAAGTCCAGGTCCCTATCATCACTCCCCCCTTTGACAACCACCTTGTCCTCAAGGTGGGTGATAGGAGACAACCTTGATTTTTAACTTCCTCTTCATCCTGGAGCCTCTTCCTTCCCAGTACCTCCCCGATTGCTGAACCATGATCTTCAGTAGCTTCACTCCTAGTCCCCTCTGTATTGCATATCTCAAAGCTTTGAACCTATCCCTTGAAAGATGCTCCTTACTGAAAAACTCATACAGAACTTCATCCGCACACATATCAAGAGAAGGTTCAAGTGGATTTGAGTCTTTGTGTTGTGTTTCTCCATCTGCCGCAGTTAACTGTTTAGATATTGCTGCAAACAGTCTCTCTGAAAACAAACCATCATCCCCCATAATCAGTGTGTCCATGTCTTTGATGAGTTGCAGGAACTTGTGACTATGAAAACTCAATGTTTTGGCATCCTTCAATCCTTTGTGGACCTGCTGCTCTGTCATCTGCCGAAGAGTGATGACACAGTGTGCCAACTCCCTCAAGTTATGCAGTTTTAACTTTACAAACCTCTTGCTTCTTCTCCCATCCGGGCCCGAACCAAATAGAGTATGGACCTCTTCCATAAGAGGAATGATCCTTCCTGACTCCTTAACCTCCATAACTAATGCAGTCACACAGGCCTCCAATTCACCCCTCTCCTCAGCACCAGCTATCAATAAACCAATGTCCAAAGACCTAACACTCCTTTCTTTGCATACATCAGTGCCAACTATATTGCCATGCTCCTGATTAAACACAATCCCTAATCCTCCCTCTTCATGAGATATTGCAAACTCATCTACTGGCCAATGCATTGTGGCAGCATCATGTTGAATGTCTGATTGTATTCCATTTTCTAGGACACTGATGAATACTGCATCTCTCGCTTTGCTATTAATTTCATTAATAGCAACAGTATACAAAGTTGCCTGGGACTCATCTACTTGTTTATTAACAATAAGGATGTCCTGGTGAGCATAATCTGTAAATTTAGCTGCACCTATCTCCAATCCTTGAGTTCTATCTACCAGGGTTGCAGATGTAACCGCACCTATATAAATTTCAGGAACCACCTTGGTCTCCAACTCAGAAGTATTTGAGCGAGCACTTTTATAATCAGAAGATTTATATTCCCTGGCAATTGATGACTGACTCACCACATAAGAGATCTCCTCGCATCCCTCATTACCATCGATGTACGTACTTTGGGAGGGAAGTTGTCGCTGACGGGTAGACTCTGACTCAACTTGCGCACCAAGTAGAACTGTTCGAGGCGAAGCTGTTGGAGCTGTGAACCACGAAGCTTGCAAATTGAAACCTCCTGTCAATCTCGTCTCACTTGGAGGAGAACTGAGATAAGCTGTCTGCGACACCGTCTGTGACACCGTCTGCGGACTGGGAACATCTGCTCGCTTCAACACCTGAGAACGGGAAGCTTCTCCTCTGGATCGCGTCATACTTGATCGTGAACTGTTGGCGGATGTTGAAGCCTGAGATTTAGATCGATCGAAATTTCCTCCTGCAGCTGAGGACTTCCGACTCTCTTCGTGGGTCCTCCTAGGTGTTCGCGATTGTCCTCGCGAGCGGTGCTGCTTCTGGTTCGTCACCAAATTTCTCAGCTCTTCTATCCTTTCATCCATCTTCGCATCCATCCTCTGTTCCACGTTCAGCATCCAGTTCCGCATCTCCTCTACTGTTGATCGCAGATCCTGAACACCGTGTTCCATCGATTCAACTCTGTGTTCCATCGATTCCACTCTGTCTTCCATCAGAGCTCTATTCCAGGTCATTCACAGATTTTCCAGGGTCGTTTGCTCTGATACCAATGTTAGGAACTCAACCCAAGCAGTAGAAAATTAGCAATATATTGAAGAAGGTCGCAGAGTTACAATGGCGTGCAAGACAGAAAGAGAAGAAACAGGTTGGGACACTTCGAGAGGTCCCACTCTCCCAGCCGATTCTACTCCATTCCTCCCCTCTCTTCCTCTATTCCTTCTATTTATTCTTTTCTAATGAGGCTTCCCCTCAATCTAACCACTTACTTGGCCCAGCCCATTTCCTCATTACACTTTATTAAAATATTCATTATTATATCTATTACATCTCACGCCATAAGCCCACATAAGCCCATAAGTCCAGGTCCCTATCAGTGTGATCATTGCAAGAAACTGTGGCATACTAGGGAGACTTGTTGGAAGATTCATGGCAAACCACCTGGAGCAGGACAGAAAAAAGTTGAAAGGGCCCTACATACTGCCATACCTGAAACTGATCAAGAGCAACAAGTCAATTTCAAGCAGCCAATTTTCACCAAGGAGCAGATAGAGCAGCTCCTACAACTTCTTAATACCTAAAAGAACCCTAAATCAGAAAACCCTTCTTGTTCTTTTGCTCAGAATGGTAAAATTGCATCATTTTTCTGTTCTGGAAAACCAAATGCCACCTGGGTCATTGACTCAGGTGCAACAGACCACATGACCTCCATTTCAAATCTATACTCTTCTTATAAACCTTGTGCAGGGGATAAGAAAATAAAAGTTGCAGATGGCTCTCTTTCAGCCATTGCAGGAACTGGAAATATTAAAGTTTCCACTTCTATTGACCTTTCTAAAGTCTTACATGTCCCAAATCTATCCTGTAATCTTGTTTCTGTTAGCAAATTAACCAAAGATCTTCAATGTTGTGTTAAATTCTATCCTTCCTATTGCATTTTTCAGGATCTGGCATCGGGGAAGATGATTGGCAGTGCTAGGGAAGAAGATGGACTCTATATATTTGATAAAGGGACTGAATCAAATAAACAAGGTCAAAGAACTACTTGTCTGCAAACTATTACGTTTCCCAGTGATAAGGAGTTGTATTTAATTCATTATAGACTAGGTCATCCTAGTTTCCATTATTTAAAAAAGTTGTTTCCTCAATTATTTCATAATAAAAATGTTTCACAGTTTCATTGTGATATGTGTACACTTGCAAAGCATCATAAAAATTCTTATCTTCCCCACAGTTACAAACCTACCAGCCCTTTTACTCTTGTGCATAGTGATATTTGGGGAGCATCTAGAATCCCTACTTTAAAAGGAAAGAGATGGTTTGTAACAATTATTGATGATCATACAAGAATGACATGGGTATTTTTGATCAAAGAAAAATCAGAAGTAGAAAATGTATTTAAGCAGTTTTATGCAATGGTCCAAACTCAATTCAATACCAATATAAAAATGGTAAGAAGTGATAATGGCCGTGAATACTTTTCTACAAACCTAAATCATTTTTTTGCTGAAAAAGGAATAATTCATCAAAGTTCTTGCATTAATACTCCTGCTCAGAATGGAATTGCTGAGAGAAAAAATAGGCATTTACTTGAAGTTACACGTGCAATCATGTTTTCAATGAAAGTTCCAAAATATTTATGGGGAGATGCTGTTTTACATGCTACCTATTTAATAAATAGGATGCCATCAAAAGTTTTAGGGTTCAAAACTCCAATTAGTATTCTGCAAGAATGTTACCCTACTACTAGATTGATTAGCACTCTTCCTTTAAAAATCTTTGGTTGCACTGTTTGTATTAAAAATCCAGACAAAACAGCAAGTAAATTTGATCCTAGAGGAACTAAGTGTGTCTTTTTAGGTATTTCATCCACACAGAAAGGGTATAAATGCTTTGATCCTTCAACAAAAAAGATGTTTATTTCAATGGACACTGTTTTTGTTGAAAATCAAGTGTTTTTTGATACTCATCTTCAGGGGGAGAGTTTTAATGAAGATGCTACCAATGTGTCACATATTCATGACAATCTTGATTTTCTTGACATTAATCTAGATATGCATTCTATTAGAAACTTAGATGCATTAGAAAATGGTCAAGCATCAAAAAATAATGAAATGAATACAACTGATAAACTGGGAGGTGAAGAATTGCAGATCAGTAAGTTCTTTGGCAAGGTTTATGAGAGAAAGGTTCCAAATCAAAGAGAAGAGGAAGTCTTTGAACCTACATCTGTTAATGAATCTGACCAGATGTCAGTAAATGAAAAAGGTAATGACTCAACTGATCTTGATTTACCTATAGCTCTCAGAAAAGAAAGAAGGTCATGTGTCAAATATCCTATCTCAAACCATGTTTCTTATTCTAGATTATCCTCTACATTTGCAACCTTTTCTTCTATTGTCTCCTCTGTTTCTATCCCATCAACCATACAGGAAGCTCTATCTAAACCTGAGTGGAAAAAGGCTGTTTTGGAAGAGATGGATGCTCTTGAAAAGAATCAGACATGGAAGGTTGTAGAGCTACCTAAAGACAAGCCCACAGTTGGATGTAGATGGATTTTCACTCCTAAGTTCAAGGCAGATGGCACTCTTGAGAGGTATAAGGCAAGGTTAGTTGCCAAAGGTTATACACAAACCTATGGTATAGATTACACCGAGACCTTTGCTCCAGTTGCAAAGCTGAATACTATCAGAATTCTTCTATCCCTGGCTGCAAATTTAGATTGGCCTCTTCAACAGTTGGATGTGAAGAATGCTTTTTTAAATGGAAAACTTGAGGAGGAAGTTTACATGAATCCTCCTCCTGGGTTTGAAAACAAGTTTGGTTCAAGAGTATGTAAGCTAGAAAGATCCCTGTATGGACTCAAACAGTCCCCAAGGGCTTGGTTTGATAGGTTCACACAGTTTGTTAAAAAACAGGGATATAAACAGGCCCAAGCTGACCATACTCTATTTATAAAATGTTCAAGTAAGGGGGAGATTGCTATATTAATTGTCTATGTAGATGATATTATCATTACAGGAGACTTTCATGAAGAAACACAAAGCCTGAAGAAAAAACTTGCTGCTGAATTTGAAGTCAAAGATCTGGGAGATTTGAAATACTTTCTTGGCATGGAAATAGCTAGATCAAAAGAGGGAATAATTGTATCTCAAAGGAAGTATGTTTTAGATCTTCTTCAAGAAACAGGGATGAGTGCATGTAAACCAGCTGACACTCCTATAGACTCAAACCAGAAGTTAGGAGATGTCAGAGATGGGGTTCCAGTCAATGTGCAACAATATCAGAGATTGGTAGGAAGACTTATATACTTAGCACATACCAGACCTGATATTGCTTTTGCAGTTAGCATGGTAAGTCAGTTTATGCATTGTCCATATAAAGAACATCTTGAGGCAGCCTACAGAATTCTTAGGTATTTGAAAAGTTGTCCTGGAAAAGGTTTGTTTTTCAAAAAGAACCATAGTAGGGCAGTAGAGGCCTTCACAGATGCTGATTATGCAGGATCAGTAAGTGATAGAAGATCTACTTCAGGGTACTGCACTTATGTATGGGGAAATCTAGTGACTTGGAGAAGTAAGAAGCAGAATGTGGTAGCTAGAAGCAGTGCAGAGGCAGAATTCAGATCAATGGCCAATGGTATATGTGAACTTCTTTGGATCAAGAGGGTGATCAAAGAACTGAATATGGAATTGGAGTTACCTATGAGACTATATTGTGACAACAAGGCAGCTATTAGCATTGCACACAATCCAGTCCTACATGACAGAACAAAACACATTGAAGTGGATAGACACTTTATCAAAGAGAAAATCGAAGCTGGAATTGTGTGTACACCATTTGTGCCTACCAGGGATCAAACTGCTGATATTCTAACAAAAGGATTGTTCAAACCAGTGTTTGAAAAACTAGTAAGCAAGTTGGGAATGTATGATATATATTCACCAACTTGAGGGGGAGTGTAAAACTGTATAGTTAGATTAATTTGTAGATAAATACTTAGTCTTATCTGATGTAAATCTCACACGTATGAGATAAAGATAGTTAGGTAGTCAGATCCTAATTTTTAGGATCTCATCATTTAGTTTGTTAGACTTGTATCCTATATATATTGTACCCGAGTGATGGAATAAATTAAGTCATTCTATTCTCTCAAACTTACACTAAAGAATTTTTTGGGGCATCCTTTAATCAATTCATGACATCACGGGGTATGCTTCACCAATCGTCTTGTGTTCACACGCCTCAACAAAATGGGGTTGCTGAGCGCAAGAACCGACACTTGGTTGATACTGCTCGTACCCTATTATTACACTCCCATACACCGCCTCAGTACTGGGCAGATGATGTGCTCACTGCGTGTCATTTAATTAATAGAATGCCTTCCTCAGTTCTTAATAATGAAATTCCCTATTCTATTTTGTTCCCTGGTCGTGATTTATTTCCATTACCACCTCATGTGTTTGGGTGTGTGTGTTTTGTCCATGACACGACACCTGGATTAGCTAAAATGTCGGCTAGGTCAATAAAATGTATCTTTCTTGGATATTCGCGACTCCAGAAGGGGTATCGTTGTTATTCTCCATTACTCAAGAAACATTTTATTTCAGCCGATGTCACTTTCATTGAGTCGTCCTCTTATTATCCATTATCTTCGGTTGATACCCCATCATGTTTGGACTTCACCTCATATCTCCGGCCCATCCCTCTGGAGACTCCCATTAACCCCCCATCTGATGAGCACCCAAATTGCTCTAATATGGCAGACCGTCCATTATAAGTATACCATCGACGTCCTCGACCTCCTCCCATTATGCCTTCTGGGGCCACGCCTGTTGAATCCCCTGAGACGGATCCTGCATCATCACCATCAGATACCCCAGCACCCGAAAATACTCAGGATGATTTGCCCATTGCTCTCCAAAAAGGTACACGTTCTACTTTGAATCCACATCCCATATATAACTTTTTGAGTTATCACCGCCTCTCTACTCCGTACTATGCTTTTATTTCCCATCTATCTCATATATGCATCCCCAAAACCACGCATGAAGCACTAGCACACCCGGAGTGGCGTAAAGCCATGTTGGCTGAGATGGATGCTCTTCATTCTAGTGGGACGTGGGATTTAGTCCCCCTTCACGCGGGCAAATCACTGGTTGGATGTCGGTGGATTTACACAGTTAAAGTTGGGCCTGATGGGGAGATTGATCGTTTTAAAGCACGCCTTGTGGCGAAAGGGTATACTCAGATATATGGTTTGGATTACACTGACACTTTTTCTCCTGTAGCGAAGATTGCATCAGTTCGTTTGGTTTTATCCATGGCAGCAATGAGCCGCTGGCCATTGTTCCAATTGGATATTAAAAACACATTCCTTCACGGCGATCTACATGAGGAAGTTTATATGGAGCAACCACCTGGATTTGTTGCTCAGGGGGAGTCTGATATGGTGTGCAGATTACGTCGTACATTATATGGCTTGAAGCAATCTCCACGTGCATGGTTTGGGAGGTTTAGTGCTGTTGTCTGCAGCTTTGGCATGATTCGCAGTGATGTTGATCATTCTATATTCTACAAACATTCCGCTGGCAACAAATGTATTTATCTTGTTGTGTATGTTGATGACATTGTCATTACCGGTAGCCATGATCAAGGAATTGTGCTCCTCAAGCAACATCTCTTTAGCAAATTTCAAACAAAAGACTTAGGAAAGTTGAGATACTTCCTTGGTATTGAGGTCGCACAGTCTCAAAATGGAATTGCTCTCTCACAAAGAAAGTATGCCTTGGATATTCTTGAAGAAACAGGGTTGCTAGATTGCAGGCCAGTGGATACACCAATGGATCCGAACGTTAAACTCTTATCAGAACAGGGAGATCTTTTGCCTAACAAGGAAAAATATAGAAGACTCATCGGCAAATTGAATTATCTTACCATCACGAGACCGGATATTTCATTTGCGGTAAGTGTTCTTAGTCAGTTTCTTGATAAGCCATGTACTGGACATTGGGATGCAGCTATCCGCGTTTTGAGATACATCAAGAAAACTCCAGGGCAAGGATTGTTGTTTGAAGATCGAGGCCACCACGATATTGTGGGATATCGTGATGCCGACTGGGCCGGATGTCCGATGGATAGACGTTCCACTTCGGGATATTGCATCTTGATTGGTGGAAACTTAATTTCATGGAAAAGTAAGAAGCAAGATGTGGTTGCCAGATCTAGTGCTGAAGCAGAATATCGTGCAATGGCCCTTGCTACATGTGAAATCTTATGGTTGAAGCATCTCCTCCAAGAGTTAAAATATGGAAACTCAAAGCCGGTTCAACTCATGTGTGATAATCAAGCTGCAATGCACATTGCATCAAATCCGGTATATCATGAGAGGACGAAACATATTGAAGTTGATTGTCATTTTATTCGAGAGAAGATCAGGAGTGGACATATCATCACACAATATGTGAACACAACTGAACAACTTGCAGATATTTTAACTAAGTCTCTTAGAGGTCCTAGAGTGGGATATATTTGTAACAAGCTTGGTACATATGATCTATATGCTCCAGCTTGAGGGGGAGTGTGAAAACCCTAGTAGTATTGGGCTTAGCCCATTTGTATATCTTGCATAGGAAACCCTAGTACTCTAAATATAGCTATAAATATAGCTTCTTGTATAGCACTTTATCATCAAGTATATGAAATACAACAATACTTGTTCACAAGACCAAACAAGAAACATTCTGATTAGACTAAAAAGATTCAGACTGCACCATAGCACTCCACTCTCAAAAGTTCAGACTAGATAGACAAGAAAGGTTTAGGTTAGACCAACTGACCAAACCAGAGTAGAAAATTCGGATCATGTCACAATGCCAGGCGAAGAGAACATGTCCTTAGTTGGCAAATTAAATGTTACTTTGTACATATGGGATTTTTTGTCTAGGTTGGTTACTCTATTGACCGATAAACCTCATGTACTAAGTCATTTTCTCCCTCTCTCTGTTTCTCTTCCTGTTGTGTGTTTTTCTTTTCCTTCAGTGTGAGATATAGCAAGTTTGTTTTATGAGTATCCTGCAGGTGGTCCTGCAGTTGGGGACATACGGTCAAGATGCTTGAGATTGTCTGATCAAAGCACTTCTGAGGCTCTTGCTGTAAGAACATTGCTTGGTCATCGGCTACCTCTTGATGCACAAAAATCAAAGTTAGAGTGGTAGTGAAACCATATTCCCGAGTAATGCCTTTTTTCTAGTCTGCCGGTCCACTTTGGTGTGCTCCAAGATCGTTTAAACTCATGTGTATAGCTACCCTTTCTGGGAATTTTTGTGTTTACACTGCATTGTTAAGATCATTTACATTGTGATAATGTCTATATGGTGAAAAGGTATGCTATTGTGGAAGGGAACCATGGTCTTTGGAAAGGCGTGTCAAAACCTTACGGCGAAACGATACGAGCTTTCTTGGCTTACTTTCAAAATCAGGTTTATTGTTCTCCTATCAACCTTATCTCTCAGTTAAAGCTATAACTAAGCTTTGTTTCTAAAGTCCATTCAATTGATATTCTCACCAAAATTGTTTTTTTCATCTGGTTGGCATTGATAAGTTCTGCCCCTTAGTGTACTTTCGATTTTTTTTTTGTCATACACGATGCATTCGTGGTTAGTTTGTCCACTGAACTTCTATGCTAGGTTAATTTATATTTCTTTTATCAAACTTATCTCCAATTTACCTGTCGCGTTTACTAATTATTTCTCAAACATGGTTTTCCATGTTCACTTTTTTTATAAATATTTTTTTATTCTTTTGGAATGCAGTCTTTCCCATGTGTGTTTAGTCAAATTCTCTATGTAATTTCATAAATGTACTTCAATTTACCAATTCTAAATTAAATAATCTGTAATACATAAAGTATTAAATTTTACGTAACTTGAGTTTTGGTGAAGACACCAAACACATAAGATGGGATGGATGGAGTAAATACTAGATAATGACATGTCAGAGTTTATTAGAATTAAGATATGCTTGTATTTTTTGATACTCTAGTTTTTCCCCTTTCCTTTTTCTCTTCCTTTTATTCTTTGAAAACATAATTTTAAATTGGCTTCAGAGCTGTTAACATTTACCAGATTACCACATTTACCACGTGTTCCCAAGATGTGTTAAATGTGCAGTGAGCCTTTTGATTGCCTTCAAATGGTATTGGAGTAGGACTTAGAGTCTAATATCCACCAATTTTATGAACATTATCTCACTTATGCTTTCTTATCTAGAAGACACTTAGAGAAGTTCATGAATTGATATATTTGAGTCATAATGGACTTTTTGAATGCAGATTCTTAGACGTTCAGAAGATGCATTTTGTTTTAGTAATGGAAGGTATTTTGATCTAGCCTCTATGACTACATTACTGATATGATATTGCCGAGTTGGATAATCTGACTCTTATTTTGTTATAAGGAAGATTTCATTTGGTGAGGTTATTAGTTTATTACCTCATTTGTGAGTTCAAATGTCCAATTGGTTGACATACAAGCACGAGTCTTGTGATTTACATGCTTTTGCATGGAAGTGACATATAAGCATACACTTAACACAACCTATATCATAACAATAACAATTAAGTACTCCCTCTGTCAACACAAATCACTCTTAATCTCTTACTTTATATATCAATTTTTTATCAAATTTGATTCTGGTTTTTGCGACTTTGTAAAGCTTTTAATGTAGTTTCTGAATATGTAATTCTTTATTCTAAAAGTAATTTGAGTGCGGACAGGGATCTGTTAGCTTTATCGTCGGTCAAACATCGTAAATCGTAAAGTATCTTACAATTCGGGATGAAGGGAGTAATTAATTAAGTTTGTGTTTATTTTGCTTCGTTGGCTGTCTCTTAAATATGCGTGTGTATTTATCCTATTTAGGCCTATGCCTTGAAATACTTAAATCACATTTTTTTATGTATCATGGTCCGGCGATGCGCAGTTGTCGCCCCCCTCCCCCAAACAATTCACTACTAAGGACTAATTCCATAATATAGCGTAGTAGAGTTCGTATCCACATGAAAATGTGCTTTTACGTGTGTGTAAGCGTAAGAAATCATAGCAAACGAAGGGAGGGGGTTTGATACTATGATAATTGAAGAAGTAAAAACACTAAGATGAATGAATTAAAATAAAAAGGGTAATCCGGCTTGGTTTTGTTAATTTCCACTTAATGAAGTGCTCTTGAATAATTAATTGTAGAGTTTTTAATTCATCTAGGATAATTATTAATAACAATATGCATTCCTTAATAACCTTTACTATTTAGTCAATATAGAATAAACCCCTTATATTGACCCGATAGTAGCAATTTATCTTTAGATGAAATCAACTAAGATTGAAAATCTCAACACAAACATTTTTTGGTTTAATCAATATAATTAATTCCTCTTTAGATTATTTACCATGAGATGCATGTGTTATTAATCTAAAATTACTACTTATGAAATGACCAAGTGAATAACATGCATATTCATTGATCAATTCTAGTAATAATCAATATGAAAACATTAACTAATTGATCAGTGATCACTTAGCAACAGAGGATGAGTGATAGAGAACTCAACAACACATTTTTCTGCTTACCCCTTTTTCCCTTACCTGCACTTATTATGATGCTCTCCTAATGGGCCAGTCTAGCGGTCCTCATCCACTAAATTAGTTGGCCTCAAACCCTCTTATTGTACAATATTAAGCTACTTAATAAGAGAAGTGTTAGGTCCCTATCATCACCCCTCTTTAACTACCACCTTGTCCTCAAGCCTCAAGATGAGTAGTAAGAAACTGGTCGGGCATTTGGTTTCTGCGGGTTATCTGCTCCATTTGTTTTCACATTTGAAGCATAGGCCCTTTTTACTTCTTTCTTCTCAGTTCCAACTCTGCTTGTGTCAACCTTTGGCCTCACTCTCATGTCTTATTCGGTTTTGGTGACTGAATAGGAGGTGTTATTCCCTTCGCTGCTTCCAGCCAGTGCAAATGCATGTCCATAGTCCCTCCCTGTTCTTTCCAACACTTTTTGTCTTCTTCCTTATGTATCCCTGATCTCATAGCAGTGTTTTTCTCTTCTACTAGCAGAGCTCTATACATTAATTCAGATAGAGAAGCAGATGGATAATGTTTCAGCTCATCTCTCACCTCATCCTTCATGCCGTTCTGAAATATTCCCTGCAACATCTCTGTATCAGTGTGCCTCAGCAGTGCACTACCAGTTCAAATCTCTCCCGATAATCCATTACGCTTCCAGTTTGCTTGACGCTGAGCATAGGTCCAAATCTTAGGGGTGGGCAAACGGGTACAGGAACCGCGGGTCGGGTAGTACAGGTTCAGGGGCGGGTTAGGGCCGGGTCCTAATTTTAGAAAACTCAAACAGTTCGGTTCGGGGCGGGTCTTTAAAAGCTTAGGAACTGAACGGGTCATAAAATTTGAAAAAACGGGTACTCGGACCGACCCTTTTTATAATGTTATTTTAAAAAAACTCTATTACATTTAAAAAAATATACTAATAAGAGAAAGTTTTTCATGTTATTGTGTCTAGACAAAGACTCTCAATTAAAGAAACTTGACAGTCTATTAAAAAGAGTTTCAAAGTCAATAAAAACCCTAAATTATTTTCCTCTATTCCAAATGCATCAAACATTCTTTATTTAATATTTTTTTGTAAACGAATACTCTTACTCAATGAAGTGTGAGATATTTATTTAATTATCTTAATCTCACTTATATTTTGAAATTTAATGAGCTTTAAATTGTTTTCATAGACAAATGCGTATTGTAACTAGTTTAGTTTCTTCCGACTTTATAGTGATATCTTTTTAGTTTATGGATAATGATGTCTAAATTTCTACATTTTAAATTTTGGTGTTATTCAATTTGGGTGTTGTTTAATTTATAGATTTGTTATTAGATATTTTGTTAACAAATTATGGTGACATTGAGTCATTGATACTTAATTAGTCGGAGAATGTTATAACTACTAGATACTTTTCTAGCATAGCAGTATTTTTTTTTACAAAAAATAAGAACCGAGAACTCGGATCGAACCGGCCCGTTTCAAACGGGGCGGGTAAGGTCCGGTTCCTATTTCAAAAATTAGAATACCCGGACCAAACCTACCCGTTAAGTGAAACCGGTGGTTCTTGAAAATTTATCAATTACCCGGACCGTGCCCACCTTCTAGTCCAAATGAATTTTGAACTAATTCTGGTTGGAACCTGCTGATTAAGGCTGCTTTGAATTGTTCCTAGGCCCGTTCATCATTTTCTCCCTCCCACCATTGGTACTAGTTTAATGCTTTGTCCTCCATAGCAATGGTTACCAACTCAACCTTATCTTCTTCTGGTATGTTATTCAACTGGGAAAACCTTTCTACCATGATGGTCCACCCATAAGCATCCTCGCCGTTAAATAACAGAAGATCAATCTTCTTTCCAACTCTAACGAACATTTTGTTTGCGTTGGTTTCACGCCGAAAAGAGATGGATCACGAGCTATCAGATTTACCTCTGGAGTTTGACGAAGCTATAAAGCTTCGTGACTTGCCACGGGAGCGCGACCAACTTCTGCGGTTTGACGACAATTGCTTATGCGAGTGTTGCGATCGCCCCTAGATCGCCTTGACCGAGGTTGAGTTAGAGCTGATGCATATCCTCCATCTTTGGTCGTATTCCATCCACATCCTATCGTATTCCATCCTTATCCGCTCGCATCTCTTCCAGGTTCCGTTCCACCTTGTCCACTCGGTTTTCCATCTGCGTTCATGTAACCGGCATCCACCATACGCAGGAAATGGTGCTTCGATACCAATGTTAGAGAACTCAACAACACAATAGAAAATGAATATATTATCGATGAAGATTTCAGAACCCAACGAGATTACTATGGCGTAGACAGAAAGAAAGAGAATAACAAATATTATTGAGACACTTCGAGTAGTCTCGCACTCCCAATTCCAAGCGCGATCCCAATTTTTTGCCTACCCCTTTTCCCCTTGCATGCGCTTATTTTAAATTTTAATACTCTCCTAATGGGGCCGGCCCTCATCATCATTATCCCAGTGCCGCAAAGGGCTCCCATCTACGGTGGGGTAAGAGGGGGTCGGATGTACGAAGCCTTACCCCTGTACAATATTAAGCTACTCAATAAGAGAAGTGTTGGGTTCCTATCAATGATTAAAGAAATAACTCACAACTTACAAATATGGCAAAATCAAGCTCAAAAGACTACATAAGTTACATGGATAAAAAGGGATTAATATATTTGCAAAGTGGGAAGGAAAGATGTGTTTTTGTAGGAGAAATGAGTTGGTTGGGTCAAGTACCCGAATGAATATCCGTTGCAGTAGCTATGGAAGTGTTGGAATCTAGTCATACCCGATCGTGTATGACTAGAATAAATTGGGTCAAGTTCAATACACATTTATATAATGTGTTTCGACTGTAACAATGTTGTCACTGTCTTCAGTGTCTTGAACTTGCTTTTGTAGTTTCTAATTGGCCTGTTAAAACCCTGTTACTCTTGTAGCATTGGGAATTTTTTCTTTGCAGGAGCGAGGACATTTTTTCAGTCTCTAGATGCCGCAATTTTTCTGTTTTCACGCGTTTCTGATATTCCAATAGAGAGTCTGGTTCTTCCAGTGATATCCACGAATGAGAGGCTTACTTTGGGCTGTGAATTATGGGTATGATTTTTCTCCCATAGTTATCTACCTTCCATTTTTCCATCATTTGCAATGGAGTCGAAGATTTACTATTTTTTGGCTTTGGAATATTATGGAATAAAGCAAAATGGCTCACTAAATTGTATGCGCTTCTTTGTTATGAAGCAAGAGTAAGTTCATGCAACTTTCGATGCGAATTTCAGCATGGGTCATCCAGAAACAGACTCTCTGTGCAGTACATGGGTAGGTTGCATACATCCTACCCCCTTACCCCACCGCAGGTGGGAGCCTTTGCGGCACTGGGGTAATGATGATGATGATGGTGGAGTTATCTACCTTCCATGCCCCCCGGAGTTATCTTCTGATTAGTAATGCGTCTTTTTATTCCAATCATTTAATTTTAAATATGAGCACCGTTTATTTTGAGCAAGCATACCTGTATGAATTTGGGTAGAGTTATTTTTTAAAACAATTTGTATTCATTGCTATCCTTTTTACTCTCTTCTCTATTCGGTAAATACCCTTTAAATCCTTGCAATTTGATCCCTTACCTTTACATTTAATTTCAACTTTGCCCTTTTTTAGTTATTATTTGCAAATATTTATTTAAAGTGTGGTTGTGCACAACACATGGTAGTGGAACATGCAATAGTGTCCTCACTCAGACACAAGTACATAACTACTTGAGCGGAGGCAGAAAACATCGGATCCTAATTGGTAGTAGAACAGTAGAACACCCTGGAATGCCTCATTTTCATCTTCCACCATCTGTAGCCTATTGAGTAGGCCATGAGTTATAGTTTTGTTCGATGACAGACTGGAGGACCATTCCACGAGAAAAACCTGCAGTGCCCTTCCTCCTCTTTCCACGTACATTTTCATCATTATTTAATCTCTGCAATTCACACCATTTATGTTTCAAATATGAGTGTGAATTCAATAATAACATTTTACCCCATAACTGTAGCACTAAAGAATCCAGGGTTGAGGTGGACCAAGAAGTTGTGGGCTGACCTATCTTCCTTAATTCCAAGTCAATTCCAAAGGATGAATTTTCCAAATAATTTGCACCAAAGTACCACTCGCTTGAGTTCATGAGGATTTAGAGATGCGCACTTCAGATGGGGCGGCAATGGAAGCCACAGTTAGATTATTTTTAACTAAAGCCAACTGCAGAACGCATACCTTGCATTGTTTTAAGCAGGTATTTGGACAGAATAGTTTCAAAGGGCACAATTGAAATTAAAAATAAAGCCAATTGATCTGATTGCAAGGATTCAAGGATGAGTACCAAATAGGAGATGAAAAACAACATTGCTGCTTTAATTACATTGAAGCATTCTTGACTTGTTTCCTGGTTACGATTAAGACATTTTGCTGCTCACCCCCAGGTTTTCCCCGTAGCATGCATTTTTTCCTTGTTTTGGTTTAATTAGATTATTTTTTAGTACAGTGAGGATGTGAAAAAGAATCCATGTTTACTTCACAGGATATCAAATTTTGCTCTTCTTTTTTCCAATGTAATGTAGGATGGTACCATTATACGTGGCCAGAATAAGATATCTCATCCAACAAATGGATGGATGGAACCCATCGATAAGGTATCTTTTTGCACTATTTCACTTGTATTTTTTTTATTTTCATATATACTGAAAAAGCTTACACGTGTTTTGCAAAAATCAACTAGTTATATATATATAATCTTTTTCTCCAAGAGTTGTAGGAGTTTTAAATTGGTATTTTTAATAGTCGTCTCTGGTTTTGGACCTTGTTGGGTATTACTCCCTCCGTACCCCTATCTTTGTCCCATTTTACCTTTTTCGCTCGTCCCATTAAGTTAGTCCTATACTATATCTGATCATATTTGAGTGGTTACAATTTATTCTTACTTTGTTCACACTTTATCAATTTAATACCAATTACACAATGTTGAGAACATAAAAATAAAAATCAACGGGGTAAACCGTTGGCCAGATAATCAACGTTAAAAACCGTTGCCCAGAGCAAAAAGGCTGAAATCCAACTTTATTCCAAGACAAGCAAGAATGAACCCTGACAAGAAGTATAAATAGCCTTCTAAGAGAAACCCTAATCGGGCCCAAATTAAATAAATCCTAATTAAGTCCATACTAACTCTACTAAGTACTCTATTAATAATAGGCCCAAACTAGAAAACATAACATAAACTTTATAATAATAAATAAAACTATAACCCTAGCCCACAACCAGCCCACAGAGGTGGGCCCAAGCCCGTTCCCGCCCCTTCATCTCTCTGCTCTCTCTATCAAGGTTGGAATCCGGAAACCGGATCACATTTGTCCCCGGGGGCTGCCCAGTATCTTTAGGAAAAATTGAGATGTACTCCTCCACAGTCCCTGTCTGCTTGCCTCCGGGCAGCCGTTCAAAGCAATTGCCCTTAAACCGTGAGTCAAAACGAGCCACCAATGCCTGTGTAAGCTCTTCCCGTGACATGCCCGGCTTTCGTGCCCGTGACCAGGTCAACCAATATAGGGCTGACCCTTCCATCGCAACTACAACGGCTGCCACCTTCTTTCCCGGCGGAGTACAGTTCAATTCAAACTGTTGCTCAGCCCTATCAACCCAGCTGATCGGTTCTTCTCCGTTAAACGAGGGCAACATTGTGAGAAAGGTGCTGCACAGTCCAATTCTGAACGAAGATGATGCTGCCGCGTCGATTGAAGCCACTGTCGTTGAATGCTCCTCGGCCGCTGGCGGCGCGAGAGCCTTTGTGAGCGCAGCCAAGGAAGAAGTGACGCTGCGCGGCTGTCCGTCGCCGCTGTGCGCAGATATGATGGGGCTGCCAACCGCGTCCGAGCTTATTTCCGTCGTGACTGGCGGAACGATCGCCTTGGTAAGCGCTGCCAGGGATGCGATGATCTCTGCTCCTCTAGGGTTTTATTCATCCGAGTTTGCTCGGCCACCATCTCTGTCAAGCGGTCGTTCTGAGATCTAGTCATCCTGGCGGGACGGGATCTGGCAAGTCGGACCATTTGTTGAGAACAGAAAAACAAAAATCAACGTGGTAAACCGTTGCCCAGATAATCAATGTTAAAAACCGTTGCCCAAAGTCAAAAGGCTGAAATCCAACTTTATTCCAAGATAAGCAAGAATGAACCTGACAAGGGGTATAAATAGCCTTCTAAGAGAAACCCTAACCGGGCGCAAATTAAATAAATCCTAATTAAGTCCATACTAACTCTACGAAATACTCTACTAATAATAGGCCCAAACTAGAAAACATAACATAAACTTTATAATAATAAATAAAACTATAACTCTAGCCCACAACCAGCCCACGGAGGTGGGCCCAAGCCCGTTCCTGCCCCTTGATCTCTCTGCTCTCTATCACACAATTCCACTTTTCTTAATAAATGCACCACTACTTCCCTCCCAATGTTAGAGGGACAAAGGTAGTATGTTTTAAAAACTAAGCCGTAGCTGGGCCTTTTTTTGGTGCAGTGAGGCTCATAGCTTAAATAAGAGTTCACCACTTCACCCTACTTGTGAAAATTGTTTCCATGTTTGATTAGTGAGAAGAAAGGTTGGGTGAGATTGAAGAGTCTGCAATACGTTTGATTTATTCAATTATAGTATAGGCAATTTCGAATAAAAAGGAAACATATACAAAACAGATGATGGTATTCTTATAAATGTCATTCGTTCTCATTTCAATGAAAACAGTAACTTATGCACTACAATTGTTATGTAATTCAACAATGCATGCAAATTAGCTCGTGTTTTGTATAAAATATGATTGATAACCAAAAAGGTGGAGTACAAAACAGGCTTTTAATCTTTCAAACTCATCTCAGTAGTTTGAGTGTATAACAATGCACAAGTGCCAATTTTTTGAAATTTTCTGTTCAATTTGCTAAGCTCTATATATGCTTCTTAAGTTACACACTATATTTGACATTTGCTAACTCATTTGACTGGTTAAATTTATCTGGACAGGGAATAACTTCATGCCCTGCGCTTCCTACAAAAATAAAGAGAGTATTCTACATGTCAAGTGAGGGCAGCAACTTATCGCACGAGGTAAATGATTAAATACTGTCACAACTTTGTACCAAAAATGGGGTAACTCTACTCTCATTTGACTTTATTTACGTTTGTATTCAATTCGTCAATGATCCTTGAGTAGTGTAAAATACGGAGTAAATGTTTATGATTTCTAAAGCAATTTAACAACGGTCATTTAACACAATGGAAGTTATAAGTTGAGCTGTATAAACCCTACTTTAGCAATGCATGATATGGTACAAGAGGGAAAGCCGTGAGCTGAAAATATGTAGAAAGGTCTAATTAATGGACTGTAATTAATTACTGCCTTAATGGAAAAACTTTTTAGTCTCTTTTTTTAGAAAAATAGAAAACATCAATCAAATAAATAATAGAGGCTAGTTTACTGATCTTCTATTTTCCCTCCTCTATTTTTGTAACACCCCTTTCAGGGTTAAAGAGAAACACTACACTAACTTACTACTTTTTAAAAAAACTGCAATATAACGTTTGTTTCTTTAAAAAAAAAGGAATAAGCCTCAAATTGGACACTATGGAATCTCATATTGGAAACTAAGGTTTCAAATGGGCCAAATTGGACATTATGGTTACATTTGTATCTCATATAGGACACTAAAGTTTCAAATGTATCAAATTTAACGTTTTTCTAATCATTTTTGGGCACCCACCAAAGATTTTTCACATTTAACATGAAAGCTGTACGTATTCCTTTTTGAAAGAATGACGAAAATAGGATGTACAGCTATTCAAAAGACAAAAACAAGAGGAAATCTCGGCTGGACAAAAAACTGATTAAAAGTGATGTTTATTGTCTAAAATGCCCTTCAATTCCTCAAAACAGGAACGGCCCAGTAAAATCCAGAAACCCTAGTTCACGTTACACTCCTCCAATCTCGACGCTGCAGCCAACCTCGACGCTGCAGCCAAGCTGGCGAGGCAAGGAGCGAGGCTGGTACGTCATTGGAGGGATTGGAGGAGGATGGATGGGGCTGGTGCGAGCAGGGGCGGGGCTGATACATCATTGGAGGGACTAGAGGAGAATGAATGGGGTTGGTGGCAGCAGGGGCGGAGGGATGGGTGGTGGCTGCCGGAAAAAATTATGTCCCTGACGTTGGTCACTAACGACAGGTCATTGACGGCGAGTCACTGGGGTAACTGATGGCGAGTCACTAGACAAAGTCACTGCGGCGGTGTCACTGGATGGTGGTGGTTGGAGGTGGTCAGCGGTGGCTGGCAGCAATGACTGGCGGTGGTCACTGTCAATGTTGTTTGGTGAGTGTCACTGTGGCCGGTGGGGGTCACTGTAGCTGACAAGGTCAGTTGGCAAGTCACTATGGCCAGCGACGGGTTGGTCACTGTGACCGGCGATGGTAGTAGCGAACATATTTTTTAATTTTTTGGTCACTTTTAGGTTTTGGTCACTATCGGATTTTGGTCACTAACGGATTTTGGTCATTGTACCGTTACTGTAGCATCAGTGAGTGAAATGATATTAGTATAAGGGGTATAACAGTCTCTTAACCTTTTTTTAGTCTTATTTTTGGAAATTTCTAAAGAAAGTCACTTTTTTGTCCAAAATTTTTTTAGTAATATTTTTGACATAACCCCTTCCTTTTTCTCTTTTGTTTTATGTACCTAAAAATAACTTAATTGGTATATTTAGATTTAGTATATATAATTAGATGTTCTAGTTAAGAAAATCTATTATAATGTAATTGAATTCTTTAATATTGTTAAATCAATTTAACAAATCGATATTTCCAGAGTTCCATAAAATTCATTTGAATGAAAGTCCTAAATGTATATTTAACTTGTTTAGTATAAGAAGTTGTTAATTAAAATCGAATTATATATTCTAAAACCTCAAATTAATACCCCAAAGTTAGTTTATTGACACTAAAAAGGAAAGGAAAAATAAAACTAAACGTTTTTTATTAACGGAAGAAGAAAATCGTGAGTGTCCAAAAACTACGAATTACGAAACCTTGGTGGCCAATATGAGATTCACAAGTAACTATAATGTCCGATTTGGTCTATTTAAAACCTTAGTGACCAATATGAGATTCACATATTGATCACCCCGCCCCTTCCCCTCTCCGGCCCCCACCCTTCCGCCACCCGCTGCCCCCAACCCCGTCTAAAACTTTAGGTGAAAGATTGCTCTTGGAATTATGTTTTTCACTCAGGGAATAAAGCTACTGCCCATGAACTAAAATAGAACCCCAACCTAGGAACTAAATATGCACATCTTATAATCTCCTCAAATCTCCTCAAAATACACTAGAGTCACCAGTAGAGAGGAACTCAAAACACTCCCTATAGGCCTATACAACAATGACAACAACATTCGATTCTTATTTCCAAAAGATTTTGGGATCGGCTAACATGAAAGAATCCATGATATCAAGTCAAAATAGAGAAGGAAGATAAGAAAAATAAAAAGATGAGGTAAGATAAAATGGATAAGATAAAAGATAAGAAAGATACAAGAACACAAGAACACAAGAACATAAGAAAGATAAAAGATAAAAACCATGATATCAAGTCAAAAAAGAGAAGAAAGATAATAAAAATAAAAAGATAAGGTAAGATAAAATGGATACGATAAAGATAAATATATAAGATAAACATAACACAAGAACATAAGAAAAATAAAAGATAAAAATTACATAAGAAAATAGAATGATAAAGAAGATATATAAAAAGATAAAAGAGAAAGATAGAAAAAAGAGAGAAAAAAGATCAATCATCCACACGAACATGCACCCTCCACTTTCCTCTCTCCAAAGTCATACTCTCATGCAACCCAAAAAGAAGCATATCAGTTCTGATTCCTCTAACCCAAGTCTCTTTCGGTCTGCCTCTCCCTCTCCTCCTCGCCTTTTCTCCCCACCTTTCAACTAGTCTAATGGGTGCATCACTTGGTCTTTTCTCCCCACCTTTCAACCGCGACATCTGCATCTTATCTTTTATAGCTGCTATTCTCATCCTTTGTTTGATTATCTCATTCCTCAAGCAGTCTTTTTTTATATGTCCACACATCCGACGCAACATACTCATCTCTACCACACTAATCTTTTGAATGTGACATTGTTTCACCGCCCAACAATCTATGCCATACATTAATGCAGACCTAGTTGTCTGATAAAACTTAACCTTCAGTCTAATTGGCATACCTCAATCACATAGAAATCCTAATGCACTCTTCCATTTCATCCACCCTACTCGGATTCTATGAGATACATCTTCATCCTTCCGAAATATGGAGTCCAAGTAATGGAACATATCTCATTGCCATTAAGGGTAATCTCACCGTTACTACTATTTCTACCTCCACCAAACTTGCAATGCATATACTCATTCTTGCTCTGTCTTAGTCTGTACCCCTTGGTCTCTAATGTTTGTCACTATATTTCCAACTTTGCTTTAACACCCGACTGTGTCTCATCAATCAATACAATATTGTCGGCAAACATCATACACCACGATATATCTTATTATCTTCTTGAATTAACTTCATAAGTTCATCATTGACTATAACAAATACAAAAGGACTTAGAGCCGATCCTTGGTGCTAGGGAACTCTGTCGTCCTCCCTACACTGTAAGAACACTTTATTACAAGCCTCATACATAGCCATGATGATATTAATATACTTACGTGATATGTCGTTTCTAAGTCAATGAACACCAAATGCAGATCCTTTTTAGTGTCTATATACTTCTTCACAACTTGTCTAAGAAGGTGAATGACCTCAATTGTTGAGCGTCCAAACAGAAAATCAAATTGATTCTCCAAAATCTTACACTTTTTCGGAGTCTTTGCTCAACCACTTGCTCCAAAGTTTCATGGTGTGACAATCCCTCGATGGTTGACATATGTCATGTGATATGACTAAGTAATACTGTTGGTTGTCACGTGCCTACCACAACATCATCCTCCTTTATCCTGGTTTTGGACATGCATGATATCAAAAATAATCTCATGGCGGAGTTTTACTATGTCAAAACACTCTTCTTGCGTCATTTGTTTTTAAAATAATTTAATACTACCTCTGTCCCGAAATGAAGTTCTTGTTCACTATTCATTGGTCAACTTAAATCACTCCTAATCTTTTACTTTATATATCAAATTTTTATCAAATTTAAATTTTCTTGATCAGGCTTTGTATCGGTTTTAATGTAGTGTCTGAATATGTAAATTTTATTTACTAAAAATAATTCGAGTGTGAACAGGGATCAAGTTGCTTTATTGTCAGCCAAGCATCGTCAACCGAATGGGAACTTCTGTACAGGACAGAGGGAGTATCTTTTTTAAATGATTTCATGTTCAAAACATTTTTTAATTTATTTTTAAATATCAATTTAGTAATGTGACTATTCTTTTAGTTTTTTAATATATAGATAAATATTCCGAATCAATGAGATAGTATCTATGCATGGCAGTTGTCTTCAGTTGATTGCCGCAATTAATTTTTCCTCTTAATCAAAGGTTAGGTCTTCCCTGATGTAAACCCTACAGTCTTGGAACAATTGAAAAATGCAGACTGTATCATTTTTGCCATGGGATCACTCTTTACTTCCATCTGTCCCTCTCTGGTAATTTTAAGTTCTTTTTTCCTAGATAAGAATCATAAGATTCAACTTTTTACTATAACTGTTCTTGTCCTTTAATATATGTTGTTTCATTTGTCATGGGTATAGAAATACTGTGCTTCAAGATTTCAGTTTTACAGATTTATTTACATGCCTAGGTTTTGCTTGGAGTTGGGGAAATCATCTCCTCGCGGTCATGCCCTAAGGTAGCTTGCTCTTCTCCATTACTTGCATTATGTAGAGATGTAGTCATAAAAGATTAAGTAAGAAAACATTTGAGTGGATGATAGTGTGTAAGAAGCCTTATCCCTTATGAGGGTGAATCACACGTCTTCAGTGATTACCCTGGTTTAGCCAGGTTTTGTATGTTAACGAAGTAACCTAACATATACACCCACTTATGAAAATGGGGTAATGTTGGAGTAATTTGATTATCTTGAATTTCATATGTATTGTAAGATTACATGGGTAGTATTATTGGTTTCCCTAAATAGGAGTAGTATGTGTTTTTTTTATGCGAAGGCAGTGTGATCTCAATAGTCAGTATGTTTGAGGTTGACAATATTTGCTCTTATTCATATAAAAAAGGAAAAATTCACATCAATAATCTCACCTATGGGCGTGCTTCTAATATTAATCCCATATATGTATAATTCCATAACAATCTCAGTTTGGGGAGTATCCTTCTCAAAATGCTCCAAGGTGACCTGGAACTTGTTTGATAGGTAAAACCTTTTAGCCTCTCACTTCTACCGGATGGCTCTGCCGGCTTTTCTCTTCTCGGCTATGAATGGAAAAAAAACTCCTGCTACTCCCCTGCTCTGGGCTCCTGCTATCTCCCCTCTTATCTTTTCGCCGGTCTCCTCCTCTGGTTGTTCCCCTCTCAGAGTCGTTTGCTCAATCGTATGTTCAGATAGAATATTTTAGTTCTCTTAATCCAAAAGAATAAGAAGCCTACGAGGAGGATGGTGAAGGAGGTATGGTGTAAATAAAATAGTTTGCGGCCAACCTAAGAGAGGCAGAGATAGGGCCCGCGAACAAAGCCCATTCTCTTTTCTTCCTGGGTCCAAATCAGTAACCCACCAGATCACTAGTAAGGATTCAGTAGCAGATCCGATTAATTCTTTTTTGTGTCCGTCCATCTCAGCAAACTTGGTCCCATACCTCCAAGTTTTGATCAAAATTGAAGGGGATGTGTCGGGTTTGTATTTTGACATCAAAATTTGGACATGAATTCATGAATAAATCATAAAATAATACCTATGGTTAATAGAATATTGGTAAAATTAGAAAGAAGAGATACCAAGAACTGATGAGCAGCCTTGGAAAAGGTAAAGAAAAAGGACGAAAAAAGAAGAGGAGAAAGAAGTCGGAGGGGAAAGTGGGAGCTTCAGAGGACAAAATAAAAATAAAAAGGAAAAGAGAAAGTCAGAGGGAAGAGGACGACCGAGCAGCAGAAAGAAAAGAAAAGAAATAAAAGGAAAATAAAAAATTCAGGAAGTCCAATTTAAACAAGACACCTGGCCAGATGACCAGCTGAACTGGTTTATTCAGGTTGTCGGGTTGTTTTTGGAAGCTACCCTAAATAATTGAGATTATACTGGAATTATGCACATTTGATATTAATATGAGAAGACCCTCAGTAGATGGGGATTATTCATGTGAATTTTCCAAAAAAAATTGTTCTCCTATTATGAGTTTTGCTCCTAACAATTTGACGCCACAAGTGGTATCATATTAAGTGAACCAAAGAGCTTAAGGCTCCATGGATTACATCACCTTTCTGGAGGCAATTCTATTTCCTAAGGTAATCTTACATACTATGAACCAAAAAGGCAAAAACTGACCAAGGGTTATTGAACTCTACCACTTATTTACATACTTTATGAAATTGAAATCTCATACTTTAACTAATTGGGTCATAATATTGTGCAAACCTATCTCCACAATCAAGATGTCAAGGACGTGTGTAAAAGATCTCGTCCATGGAAGTGAGCAAGAGTATATGAAAGAGAATCGTGTGAATCAAACGAAGCTATATGATTAATGTGTGATCAACCTTGTCAAGACACACTATTAATTCTGTAAAATGTAATTTATTCAATAACCAAAAACTTCTTATAACACTAGAGTCCTAACATGTAATGGAAACAAGAGTTGCAAAGCTAATTTTGAAATATACTATCCTGCGTATCGCATTAGTTGCAACATTGCAAATTACACACTATTCATGTACTCTACTTTGACTACATTTTATTTATTAATGTATATGAATTATTATTTTTTGAAAAATATTTGAATTCGTCTCATTAAAAAGTTTCATAAACTGATTTTTTATTATTTTTTACTAATAAAGAATTAAATATAATGACGGTCAAAGTTGTGCGTTGGCAAACGTGAAAAAGTGAATGTTGCTACTAAAAAAGATCGGAGGAAGTATTAGAATAAAAGTATGAATGTGCTTTGAAATTTTTTAGGAATATATTCTACGGAAATTGTCCTAAATAGGACTAAAAAGTTCCTAAAAAGCACAAATAGGACTACTATTTTTAAAATTCCCTAAATAGGACTAAACATTGATTTTCTACCCTAAATATCCCTAAGAGTATTAATTCATAATGAAATGCTTTAATTCATAATAAAATCACAAAAAACGTAAAAAATATTTAAAATACGTAAAAAAATTATAAAAAATTTATAAAACATTTATAAAATAAAAAATTTATTTTTTTAATTTTTTTAAAAAAATAATAAAAAATAGTAAAAACCCATAAAAAATGAAAAAAATTATGGATACCTTTCTCACCGCCTCCCGCCGCCTCCCAGCACCACCACCTCTGATTGGTGAAATTTCTTCCACTTTTGGTAAAAAAATGCCATATTTTTCTGAAAATGCCAAAAAGATGGCATAATTACTCTTCAATATGCCAACATTTTCATTGAATATGCCATCATTATGGCATTATTTAAAATGTTGGCATATTTTTCTCCGGTGATGGGAGATGGTAGTGCTGGGGGTGACAGGGGTGGTAATGTTTTTTTTTAATTTTATGATTTTTTTTTATTTATTTTTTTTTTTTTAAAAAAAATATTTTTTTTTTAAATATTTTTATTAATTTTCTATTATTGTTTTACGATTTTTAGTATTTTTTTCGATTTTTATTAATGTTTTTATGATTTTATTATTAATTAAAACATTTCACAAGTTACAAGGGTATATTTGTCCAAACACACATAAATAGTCCTATTATGGGAATTTAAAAAATGTAGTCCTATTTGTGCAATTTTGCCACTTTTTAGTCCTATTTAGGGAATTGACTCTATATTCTAGGATATTTTTCCATCATTTGCAATGGAGCCAAAGACCACTATTTTTTGGCTTGGGAATATGATGGAATAAAGCAAAATGATTCACTAAACTGTCTGCGCTTATTTGTTATGAAGCTTCAGTCAGTCCATGCAATTTTCGACGCGATTTTCACTATGGGTCATCTGGAAACAATCTCTTTCTGCTATAGTACAAGGGTAAGACTCCGTACATCTGACCCCCCTACCCCACCAAAGGTGGGAGCCTTTGCGGCACTGGGGTAATGATAATAATGATTCTAGGATATTATTCTGGGAGTAATCTTCCGATCAAGAATTTCCTAACAGGTATGCCATCCAACCACCTCCATTTGAGGTCCTATCGGGTGGACTTTTTCGTTGAAATTTTGTGAGCATGTTCTTCATGAAGTGCAAATTATGTCCACCAAATTTCAGCTTAAAATTTAATCAGGAAGTCAATTAAACAAATTATTGAAAAACACTGTGCCAAAATATATATAAAAACGCAGTGTTTTCAATAACTAACTTGCCGATTGATTCTTAAGTTGGAATTTGGTGGAGATAATCTACACTTATGGAGAATATGCTCACAAAATTTCATCGAATAATTCCACCCTAAAGCACCTCAAATGGAGGTGACCAGACAACGTTTTTGATCAGGAAATTCCATTCAGGAACATTTGTGATTGATGGTATATAATCTTATAGGAATATTCTATCTTTATTATGTATAGTTATAGGGGCTTAAACCCTTATTCTCCCTTCAATACTAGTCTATTTATATCTCTATTTCAAAATTGTATGAGCCATAGAAAAAGTTGAATAAGAAAATCAATTAGTAGTGAGCTAATTTTTTCTAAAAATCACTTAGCATCTTTATACGAATTGCCCCAGGCTTCAAAATTTTCATGCCACACATTCTGCACTTCTTTTTTATGAAGCAATAGTCAGTCCATGCAATTTTCGAAACAATCTCTCTGTGCTTTAGTATAGGTAAGGCTGCGTACATCCGACCCCCTCTTACCCCACCGTAGGTGAGAGCCTTTGCGACATTGGAGTAATGATGATGGATGGACCTTACGCCACCACCATAACCTGGTGGTGTGCCTACCGTAGGCGACCCAACAATTAAATTCTGATACCCAAAATCAACGTGAGTGAGGCACACGTGCCACCACAGTTTGGCGCCGGCTCATGACGTCTATTCGCTTAAATTGTCCATGTTAGACCCATTCCTGCTGAATCCAACTGATGTGTCCAGAATTTTGTGTTACCAGTCATATGAACCTCTCGTGCCTATGGTGGGGTGTGTTGTTGAGCAATAACCTCTCACAGTGCTTCAGTCATGCAAACGGAGCGCTGCTCTGCTGTACTGGGGGATCTCCAATTTGGAGTACCTCTGGACCACTATCAGGGCGTAGATTGTTTGTTTGTCGTTGTTGTCTGGATTATCAGAACTCATGGTGTCTGAAGATGTGTCATTCAATAATTGGTGGGCAGAATTTGATAGGCTGGGTTCAGGTATAAACTTTTCAATAAATGGTGTCTGAGAAATATAATAAGAATAGGAAACAATAAATTTTTCACCAAGTCTAGCCAGTTCAGGTATTTGGCTATAGGTGTGGCCCCCAAAAAAGTCCACTACACAACGACTTAAATTTTCAGTTTTACGCGCAAGCGATGATTTCATGTATATTTTGAGTCTTCTTGACTTCTTTCCATGTCCATATATATACTCGTGCCTGAAAGTTATCTTCTTCGTTTGTTGTGTAACATTCTCCATAGGTACTTATGTTGAATGGCACACATGACCGAGAAACTAGTGGCTTTAATGCTTCCTGCTTTGTGACAGCCATCACAGATGCATTAAATCGTACTCATGGAAACCATAACTGCCTTAAAAATCCTGTAAGTAGCTGTAGATGTATACATGTGTGTTGAATTCCCTACTATTTTGGTGATGCGAGGTCAAATGTTTTTTCTATGTTTTCCTCCAAATGTCATGTGTTATATGTTAATCCATACTACATCGGCTGATCAGCCATGTATCAAAAGTCAAAACACAAACCAACATAATACAATATCAGAGTCACTTGAGCTCTAATAAGCCATTAGATCTTGGCATGTCTCAACTAGTCTGTTCCTACCCGGCTACCCGCCACCATCTTGCAAGCATGTTAAGCCTTCTCACGGGCCACATGGCCCACATATATACAATCCAAGATATGAAGTCTTACGAGGCCTTCACTTTTCACGCACAATTGCATCACACTAATCTTTAGTTTTGAGAATGCAGCCAAATAGATATATCAATGCCCTTATGGTGCCAAGAGATGGTCAAATTCCAGTCGATGTTGGTCACCTTACTTCGCAAGGGATTTATAACGTGGTATGTGCTTCTGTTAACATTCCTTCGGCATGTGTGAAACAAGTCTACTTGTAATAGGATGTGATTACATGTCTGTATCAACTATCTCAACTCATCTAGGATTCAAGTGTAATTAAAAACCTAAGATGTTGATGGATTTGGAATTCTATCTCAGAACAATCGCCATGGATAGTGACCGTCAAATGGTTTAACAAAAAAAATCATTTAAGATTTTTTGTAACCAATGAGAGTGTGTAGGAGTGATTATCCAAAACATTTCTTTTGAATGCATTTTTCTGTCGGAATAAGGTTGCAACACGAAGGGCAACTGGTGTAAAATTTTACCATAGCTTTTTATGATTTTAGTTAATTTGTTAATTATTTATAGGCGGTTTATGCCACACGCCGTGACTGGGTAGGATTAAGGTGACAATAATGTTACTATGCGTTCAATCATTGAAGTCACTGTTTAGGTATATTTCCATAGTATCGCTTCCTGTAAATTGCTTGTGAAAAAACTTGCATTCTTGCAGGTCACTGTCGATTCATTCCGTGATCCAAAAGTGGGTACAATCTTTGATCCAAAATCACTTATACAGGCGCTTGTGACCTTGTTAATACAAACATGAGAAAAAGTGATTGCTCATCTTGAGATTGGGAACAAAGCATTGGCCTGCATGTTTTTAGGGAAATGAAAGAACCCCACAATGATACAGCTCATCAAAATACATACCACTTTGTCCTCTAAATTCACACGTGGCTAACTCCCCAAGATTCACTCAATTTCTAAAATTTTACCGCGTGGCAACATACAGTTTTTTCTTTCTAATTCAAGGGACACACATGGAATATCAAAGCAAGTAGCATGCGGAGAGATATATTTGGTGGGTCCAATAATATGAAAAAAAAAACCCTTTTTTCTTTAAAGTGTTATAACATTTTCATTTTTTCTTCTATTTTTTACAAAAAATTTATGAAAATTTATAGCTTTTTACGATCTAGCATATGACACTAATATTGCTTATATCTTTTTTATAGCCCATTTTTTTTATTTAACCTAAAATTTTGTCACTTTTCTTTTAAAGTAATAAATTTGTGTATCAACCTATTTTGATTTGCTTTGCACAAACATCACACATTTTAAAGCTCATTTTTCTTTGAATAGTTATAACATTTTCATTATTAATCCAATTTTTATAAAAAAATATCAAAATTCATAATTTTTACGATCTTTCATGTGACATCAATATTGCATTTATGAAAAAAACCCAGGATAGAGCCTTATGAGTTCTAAAATCTAAACTATTAATACTAAATTAATATAACATTCTATTTTGTCAACTATTATGTAGGAAACATACTTCTTTCATACACATTTTGTTTTTGATTGTAGAATATACTACCTCCGTCCCTTAAAACTTTGCCAGACCGACACGGAGAATAATAAAGTAAAAACTATGTGGTTGAGGTTTGTGCAGAGAAGAGAGAAATAAAAGAAATCACAAAATCATTGATAAAAAGGGAAAGTGGCAAAGTTTTTTGGGAAGTCCCAAAAAGGGAAGATGTCAATGTTTTAAGGGACGGACAGAGTATTATATATCACTCCCTTCGTTCCGTTAAAATTTGTCAACTTTTATTTTTTATTTGACCTGAAAATTTTATGGGATATTTTGACTTTGCACCCCGCTTTTTGGATGATATTGGACTTTGCACCCCATTTTCAAAACTTTTAGACTTTACACCCTATTTCTCCTAAAATGTTTTTGCCTTTGCACCCCATCTAGGAATTTTTCTTCACAAAATGTTGTAGATAGGGTGCAAAGTCTAAAAGTTTTGAAAATGAGGTGCAAAGTCCAATATCACACAAATAGTGGGGTGCAAACTCAAAATTCCCCAAATTTTATCACTTTTTTTTCAAAGTAATAACTTTAAGGTTTTACCTATTTTGCTCTCCTCTTCATAATCATCAATTTCACTTTTTAAAAATTTCTTTTTCGCTTAAGTGTTATCACTTTTTCAGTTTTGCTTCAATTTAGAAAAAATATATATCAAAATTCGTAATTTTTTGTTATCTTTCATATGACTTCAATATTGCCTATATATAACTACTAAAACATACGTATTATTTTAGAAGATAATAATTGAACGCAATAACTTTTCTCTCATATGTAAGAGTTTCCTAATCGTTGAGCGAAATAGTTTCTCTTACATATGTAATACTTTTAGGTATTATATATACTTCATCCGTATTTAAAAGATCCCTACATTAGATGTTGACACAAGATTTAAAGAGAGAATAGTAGGGGTAATGAATAGTGTAGAAAAAGTATGAGAGAAGGTGAAAAGTAGGAAAGAGAAGATAAAATGTAGAAAAAATAAGGATAATTAAGTATTTTTTATTCATGTGAGCAGGGCTTTTAATGTTTCATGCCTCCTGCTGCTGTTATATTATTGACTACTGCAGCCGTTTACTTGCATGTTTCTCTTTTTTTATCTTTTTGCTTTAATGTAAGATGCTTATACCACTCACTCACTCCTCACACTGCAAGAGTGAACTCTCTGAGATATGTGAATCGGTAGCACCTTGTTTTATAAAATTTATGTTAGTTTGTTATTTTAAAAAAATCTATTAAAAAAGAAAGTGTAGCAAACTTTTTAATACATCCCAAATAGGAAATGAGAAATTGCCCAATATAGGAGTAAACATAAATATAATTGTACAAATAGGAGTGAAACTTGAAACTTCCTTCAATAGAAGTAAACATTAATTTTGTACCCTTAATACCCCTAACCTAGTTAATTCTAAAATATGACTTATTTGATCCTAATAAAATATTAAAAAAAATCTAAAATATTTGAAAAAATATATTGAAATAATAAAAATTATATTTTTTTTAAAAAAAAATAAAAAATTTTGAAAATAAATAAAAAATTAGATAAACCACATTAAAAAATATAAAAAATTATCCAAGCCTTTGACCCAACCTCGGCCATCACCCAGCAATGTCACCTCCGATCGGCGGAAAAAATGTCATCATATGTTAAAACTTCCATTTTTCTTTGAAAATGCCATAAGATGGTAGTTTTGCTATTTGAAAATGCCAAATTTTCTCAAAATCTGTCATCATGATGGCATTTCGGAAAAATGTTGGCATTTTTTTCGGTGGTTGAAGCTAGTGGTGCTGGGAGGTTGTTGAGGCAGCGGCAGACGCCTACATATTTTTTTGATATACGAAGTATGTTTTATTTGATATATTTTTGTGTTTTTTCATTTTTTTTACAATTGTATTATAAATTAATGTTATTCTTTTTATGTTTTAATTATTAATGAAAGTTGTTGGGACTTGAGTAGAGATATACTTGTCTAAACACTAAAGTTACTCCTATTCAAAACATGGTATTCCTATTTTTGCCTTTTGCCTATCTTTTACTCCTATTTGGGGAATTCTCTCAATAGGAAAGTGTAACAAACTTTTAAATAAACAAGATAAGCTTGCTAACAATTGAGCAGAGAATTTAAGGGGGATAATTTTCCCTTTTATATGTATTGCTTTTGGACTTTTGGTTATTAGAAGATAAACTTGCCAACAATTGAGCAAGATAACTTTCTCTCTCATATGTAGTTTTTTAACAAAGTAATTTCCTAAATAGGAGTAAAAGGTAGTCTTCAATCACATAATAGAACTACATTGTTTTTTATTCCCTGGTAGGACTAATTATGTGTGTTTGGACAAATATACCTTTGTAGCTTTTAAAATGTTTTAATTCATAAAAAAATCATAAAAAAATAATTTAAAAAAATTGTATAAAAATTATTAAAAGTTAAAAAAATAATTATTAAATAAAAATTTAAACAATTCTGTAAAAGAAATTAAATAAAATGAAAAAAAATCACTGCCGCCTCTGCCACCCTAGCACCACCACTTCCGTTCGCCAAACAAATGCCATATTAATGGCAATTTCAATGAAATTTTTGGCATTATGAAAGAGTAATATGCCATTTTTTGGCATATTCAGAAAAAATGACATTTTAAAAAAATATGAAATTTTCTTACACCGGTCGAAGGTGGTGGTGCAGGGAGGAAGTAGAGGCGGTGGGAAAGGCATCCATATTTTTTAAATTCTTTTTAGGGAGAACAACCAAATAAGCCCTCGAACATACATAAAGAATGCAAATCACCCCTTTTATAGAAGGCCCTGTTCGGCCATCGCTATTTGGGGCGGTTCCCGGTGGAATTTTTTTATGAAATATTTGGAGCATCTTATTAATTAAGTCTAGTTTGCTTATACCAAATTTCAGCTAAAAATTCAATCCGGAAGGCAGTCAAATGAATTTTTGAAGATAACCGCGCAGTTAAACAATGCAGTATATTTTAGTAAATTATCTGATTGCCTTTCTGGTTTAATTTTTAGCTAAAATTTGATATGATTAAACAAGACTTAATGAAAAAGATGCTAAAAACATTTCATCAAAAAATTCCACCGGCAACCGCCTCAAATGGCGATGGCCGGACAGAGCCTCCAATAAAAAGGGTGATTTGCACTTTTTATGTAAATTTGATGGCTTATTTGGTAGTTCTCCCTTCTTTTTATGTTTTTACTATTTTTTTAATTAATTTTTTAAGTTTTCATTTCTAAGTTTTTTTTTTATATTTTTATTATAATCAGAACAGAAAATGGTACTACGTTCAAGAATCAACTTCTCACTGATTTCTATGAATCTCAAGGTATCACACAATAGTTTTCAGTTGCCAAAACTCCACAACATAATAGAGTTCTTGAAAGAAGAAACAGAACTCTGGTTGAAGCCGCACGTACCATGTTCATACAATCCAAACTTCCTCACTTCATGTGGGTTGAAGCCATCAATATTGCGTGATTCACACAAAATCGTACAACAATTCACAGACGCTTTGACAAGACCCCCTATGAAATTCTCTTCAACAATACCCATGACATATCTTTCTTCAGAGTCTTCGGTTGCAAATGCTTTGTAGTGAATGATAGAAGTAAAAGGACTAAGCTCGATCCAAAAGCCAAAGAAGGTGTGTTTATTGGCTACCGAACCCATTCAAAAGCGTACAGAGTCTATTTGAGAGAGCGGCGAACTGTCATTGAGAGTGTGCATGTGGCATTGTATGAAATGACAGACTTTGCTTCTAAACACTTCTTGACAGAACCAACACTATCTGAACCACATTCATCCGAAGAAGTTGATCCAAATCACCAAACAACTCCTTAATGTGTGGTTCTCGGTTCACTATTTTAACACTTCTACGAGAATCCACGTCCATCACCGCCACAAACATCATCAACAACTGATATCCATTTATCACTTCTGCCTGGTCCACCTGATACTCATTCATTTACCCAATCTGATCATATGGATCCCAATGACCAAGGTGTGGAAACAACCTCCCCAATGACCCCAACAACTCCCAATCAACCCACTCCTCAACAATCTACATCTGCTACTTATGAGGACCCGGATCATCCAATCATAACTTCACTCCTTTCACATGAGCGGAAGTGGACGAAGGCACACCCTGCTGAACAAATAACAGGTGATCCGAGTCGTGGAGTCTGCACCAGAATAGCAAAAGTAAATGAATGCCTCTTGTATTGCTTTCTAAGCCAATCTAAACCATTCAACATTTCTGAAGCACTGGTTGATCCTGACTGGGTGATTGCCATGCAAGATGAAGTCAATCAGTTTCAGAAAAAATGAATGTGTGGACACTCGTGGCTAGGCCTCATCGGAAAACCATCACCGACATGAAATGGGTGTTCAAGAATAAGCGAAACGAAGAAGGTGTCATTGTGAGAAATAAGGTTAGGTTGGTTGTGAAGGGATACAACCAACAAGACGGAATAGACTATGATGAGATATTTGCACCCGTGGCTAGGATTGAAGCAATTCGCCTATTTATAGCTTACGTGACACACAAGAACTTCACGGTCTATCAAATGGACGTGAAAACAACTTTTTGGACAAACACTTGTTATTTTGTTCTTTGTATTTTCTCTTTGCTATGACATTTAGATGCGCCTGTAGTGCATCTCGACGCACACTAAACTTTATCTTCTTATGTTGTTTTCCTACCCTTGGTGTGTCATGCAAAATTAAGCTTCTATATGGTTGTTTCCGCTTCGAAGCTACTTCTTTCACTGACCATTTTGCCCCTTGTTGGGCATTGACTGCGCGCAAAGCGTGGACCGATGCTAGTATGTGTGTGTGTTCGATCTGTCAGGATTCGCTGTCTGGCCGAGGCCATTTGGGGTCCTTTTCGTTGAACTTTTTTAATAAATTAATTTGAGAATGTTCTTCATCAAGTCTAGTTTACGTCCACCAAATATCAGCTTAAAATTCAATTTGGAAGATTGTTAAATAAATTGTCTACAAAAGTTGTGTTGTTTATATATTTAAAAGTCACAATTTTTATAAAGAATTTATTTAACTGTCTTCCCAATGGAATTTTTAGCTAAAAGTTGATGGGAATAAACTATATGTATTTAATGAAGAACAACTCAAAAGATTTCATCAAAAAATATCACCGAAAAAAAGACTTCGGCTTGATATAAATAATCTGCCCTCCACATGCTATCGTATATAGATGCATGGATATATTGAATAGGAAGAAACCAACATCCTCTGCCCTAGTCCATAGCTCATAAATGCAAAGCATTAATAAGTAGCAGAGATTGGCCGGCGTAGCTAGGTAGCTATGTTTAATTTGTTCGAATTAATATTTCCAACTCCCTTTGGTGTTAAGTGGTTGAACAAATTAATGAATATATGCCATGCCGCCCTAGCAACTCCGATCCCATCCATCATAGTATAGTATTCATCATCTCATTTGCATGCTAGATAGCTTCTCCATCCCTCGCTCGATCGCCAAATCAAAGAAACATACATGGCCGGCGGGCCGCCGGATCGGAGTTACAACGTCGCCCGGCCCCATCGATGGAGCAGCTTTTGGTCCGCCGGCCTCAGCCCGGTTCCATCGCCAGCTAGCTTCTATAAGATATATATACGTGTTTGTTTATATATGTAGGATCGAGTCGAGATATTAGTGCGGTTCAATGAGAAAGTAAAGCTCACAAACAAACAATGCTGAACTCTTCTTTTTTATTGAGCCGTGCCAATATCACGTCTCACTTCCGATCATCATTCATTCATTCATCCGGCCGCCGGCCTCCATCTTTACTACTCATTTTATACAGAAATACATATTCTCCTCCCAATTCTAGAGCACAAGTCAAAACCGCTGCCACGACACCTTTATTGGCCGGAGCTGAGGTGCTTCTACATGAAACTTCTTGATGATTTTTTTTATTACGGAGTATTTATTTATGAAGTGTTCATTATATTTAAAGAAATTGATCTAATTAGGACTAAATCATAGCCAATACTCCAACTTAGGTCTTGATGTTTTTAATTCCTAAATGGGACTCCCTATTACCATATTACCCCTAATATATTAAATCTCTACCTCTTCCGTGTTTGTCTTTCCCGATCTCTGCCTCCTCTTCCGCGTAGATCGCCCCAGATCTCTCCCATGTCGATCTGCAGGTCATCTTCGATTCCCTCTCCGCTGCCCAGGTCGACATATCTCCAGGTAAGTGTTTCTTCTTTCTTCTTCTTCTTTCTTCTTCTTTTCCTCCTCCCTCTTTTCCTTTTCCTTATCTTCTGTTCTCTGCTCTTCTCTGCTCCATTCTTATTCGGTCAACATTTTAGATTAATTTTATGTTGATGTTTATGTTAATTCTTTTAGGTTCAAAATGGAAATATTTTTTAATTGAAAATATTGGATTTGAAATTCGAGGCGCTATCAATTGTTCGAAAATATTTTGGTCTAATTTTTTAATTATGTTCGTGTATCAACTTTTAAAAAATGCCACATGGTTGACAATTTTTTGGAGATATATTGGCAATTTTTTGGAGATATATTGGCAATTTTTCGAGGCGCTATCAATTGTTCGAAAATATCTTGGTCTAATTTTTTAATTATGTTCGTGTATCAACTTTTAAAAAATGCCACATGGTTGACATTTCTTTTGTATTTAAAAATGTCATGTTGTAATCTCAAAAATGACATGTTTTTGCATCTAAAAATGTCATGTTGTAATCTAAAAAATGACATGTTTTCGGACCTAAAAATGTCATGTTGTAATCTAAAAAATGACATGTTTTTGCATCTAAAAATGTCATGTTGTAATCTCAAAAATGACATGTTTTTGCATCTAAAAATGTCATGTTGTAATCTAAAAAATGACATGTTTTCGGACCTAAAAATGTCATGTTGTAATCTAAAAAATGACATGTTTTTGCATCTAAAAATGTCATGTTGTAATCTCAAAAATGACATGTTTTTGCATCTAAAAATGTCATGTTGTAATCTAAAAAATGACATGCTTTTGGACCTAAAAATGTGATGTTATAATCTAAAAAAATGACATGTTTTTGCATCTAAAAATGTTATGTTTTTTTCTTTGGTGTTATGACGATGGCAATTCCACCTGAAATTGATAACATACTCTCCAGAGAAGGTAGCCAGAACGGGAAGATGTAGACACCGCCAGGGGAGAACTTAACATTGGCGGATGAAGGTGTAGCACTATTTTCACTAGAGGGCGAGGTAAGCCAACTAGCATGATGTGTGTTCTTGCCGAGTGTGTGCAACGGCGGTCTCGCCGGTGGCAGCGGCAGCTCCTCACCGGGCAGTGGCGGCGGCGGTCTTGACGATGGCAACTGGCGCGGAGAGTGTTGTTGGTGTCGATGGTCTGGAAGCCTGTTGCAAGGAATTTTAGTCCTATTTGTGTTTAATAAAACATAGTGGTCCTATTTTTGCAATTCTACCTTCTTTTAATCCTATTTAGACAATTCTCTCTTATATTTACACAATTTCAGTTTGAAACTCAACTAAAAAGTCAATTAAATAAATCATTGAAAGTGTTTTATACTCCTATATTTTTTGCATAGTGTTTTTCAATAATTTCTTTAATTAACTACCCAATAGAATTTGAGGAAAATAATGTGGAAATATTATACACTTCATGAAGAATTGAACATGCCTAAAATATTTCTTAAAATAATTCCACATTTCCACTCGAAAACACCTCAAATGGAGGCGTCTCACAAGAAGATTACTACATACTATCCTCCGTCTCTTTTTAATCACAACATGTTGAATTTTACATTATTCACATATACTACTTTGACTATAATTTATATTATTATTTTATGAAAAGTATTTTTTAAAAAAAAATATTTCAATTTATCTCATTACAAATTTTCAAAATCTAATTTTTAAATATTTTTTACTAATAGAGATTAAGATATAATTACGGTCAAAGACGTGCGTTGACAAGTGTGAAATGTTGACCGTTGCAACAAAAAAAGAACAGAAGAAGTATATATAACGTACTAATCAAATATCATCTATGTTTTTCTTTCCCTACCTACTTTTTTAGTTCACACATTATACTAATTAGTACTCCTTCTGTCTCAAATTGAGTTACAAAATTGACTTTTTTGGGATCAAACAGATTCATTTTGTTCACTTAATTAAGATCGATATCAATTCTTAATTACTTTTTTGTTTGGATATTGTATATTTATAGAGATTTTAATGTAGTTTCTGAATATGTATGTTTTAATTGTTAAGATTGAATTAATTATTAATAAGGAGAAATTAACTTTAACATTGATTCACCAAGAAATATTGATTTTGCAAAATAATATGGGATGGGATTGTTGTTTATTTTAATATATGAGATCCAAGATCTACACATCACACTACATGTTAGAAATTATATCATATACAAGTTCATATAGAAAAACTTACATGATGGGAAGCCAATCTTTGCTAGGCCATGATTAGTTGATGAAGAAGCCGTTGTTTTACTTGTAACAAATGAATTGGTAATCCGACAAAAGTAGATGGAGTATGTGATATTAAGGAGTTGTGATGCTTCTCTCCTTGGATGTTTTAATTCATACGTACGTGTCCGTACTTCATCATGGAGAGATGCATATTAATATGGCTAATTACCAATAGTCACAACTCTTCTTATTGGGTGTTACCACAATGGTACCCCTTAAGTATTATTTCCATCAAATAATACATAAATATTTTTTTTGCTAACCACCAAAATCAGTGGGTCAAACGCCGGGGAACGTTTGTCGGTATTTTATTAAAATAAAATGAATTACAAACAGAGAGGGAGGCTAGACCAAAACCTCTCTTCGGAGGCATTCCTCCGAAAAAGGACATAAAAAGCAACAATGAAAGAAAAATTTTGGGGGGACTAGACCTGACCCAAAACACAAATAAAACCGAGATAACTTATACATAAATCTGAGAGATGGAAGCCCAAAGAGATCCATAAAATAGGCATTTTTGGCCCGGGCCGGGAGCATATTAGGCTGGGAATAAACTACTAGTTGGGCCGGTTTTTGATCCGCAATGAAATGTGCGGCCCAGTTAGCTTCACGCCATACGCTGGAAAAGGAAATCGCCTTATCCTCTATCCGAAGCATCATTTCCTTTATTTCACAAAGCCAACGTCCTTCTCTATTCTCCCTTATAATATGCACCGCCTCAGTAGAGTCAGCTTCGACCTGAACATCGTCCAATCCTTCATCTATCACCCAATTGGTTGCTCAAATTAGAGTCTGGATCTCCGCCTCTAAAGGTGAAGAAGACTGCACCGGGAAACAGATTGCGCTTACCATATGGTCATTTGCAGATCTTAGAATCTCACCTCCCACGGATGAAGAAGGTGAGAAGCTTGCATCCGTATTCAATTTATATTTTTGATTCGGTTTCTTCCAATTAACCGGTAGTATAGATGGCCGCTTCAATCTACAAGTGTGTGGTATAAGATTCTCTTCATAAAGCACTCTATCAGCAGAATGGACCTTAGAAACTGTGATACTTGTTACCCAAACCTGGGAGAAAAGTTTCACAAAATGAATAATCTCTTCATGTGAGGGAAATGAGACACTCTGAGCCCAAATAAGGTTAGCATAGCCCTTCCAAATATACCAGCATACAATACCTGGGAGACAATGTTTAAAAACATCTTCCAATTTCTTATACCCAGCTTCAAGCCACCAAGATATGAAGAATTGTCTGATGCTGGTAGTGTTGTGATGCGTGGGTATTCCAAGGATTCCTCTGAAATAAACTCATATGGGCCTGATTTTATCACAGGAGTAAAATATATGGTCAGTAGTATCAGCCTGTCTTCTGCAAATTGGGCAAACTGAGGGATTTAAAACCATAGGCAACCTTTTTAGGTTGTCAGTAGTTGGTGGTATGCCATTAAACAGCTTTCATTGGAACATTTTGATATTAAGAGGTACTAGTAATTTTGACTGCCAAATATGCTTGAAAAAGAAAGTAGAAGGTTTTTCTTCCCTAATGGATTCGTAGGCAGATTTAAAAGAAAACCTACCATGATTCTCCGGGTCCCAAAACAGACTACCATCAATGTTAACACCACATAAAGATCTAGCAAACTCATCAATGCTACAGATTCTCCTCCAAATGGGGGAGTCAGTGATTTTAGGTACCATATTATCTCCTTTAGGATATCTGGCTTTAAAAAATTGAGTCCAAATAGAGTCATCATTCTTCCACTTCCACCAAAGCTTCAAAGTAAAGGCTTTCTCAATATCAGTTAGATTCCTTATACCCAATCCCCCTTCTTCAATAGGAAAGCAAAGATGAGACCACTTGAGCCAATGATATTTGTTCTTACTTCTTAGTATTAGAAGACCCCCCAAAGAAATGTTGCCATCTTACTTTCCAATATATTTACAATCTTTATAGGCAACCTGTCTGCTGCCAAAACATGTAAAGGAATTGTGTTGAGTACATGTTTGACAAGAATTAATCTGCCCCCCATTGATAAGTTATTCTGCTTCCAGGTAGAGAGTTTCTGATCAATTTTTTAATAATATCCATGCAATAAAGGATATAGGATATAGTCCCTCCATTTAAGAAGATCAACAGGTCATCTGCATATCTTAAATGGGATATAGGATAACCAACTAAGCCCATCCAAAACTGCTTCATAAGACCTTTTCCATGTGCCATTTCAGACCTCTTGAAAAAGCCTCCAAAGCCATAATGAAAAGAAAAGGTGAAAGGGGATCACCCTGCTTCACCCCTCTTTTAGGTTTAAAGAAACCTGTATGCACACCGTTCACTAATATAGACATATAAGTAGCTTTTAAATTATTCAGTATCATCTGGATAAAAAGCTGTGAGAAGCCAAACCTATAGAGAACTCCCTCTAAAAATTTCCAGGATATTTTGTCAAATGCTTTGGCCATATCAAATTTGACAATGACATTAGACCCCCTTGCCTTCTTCTCAAGAGAGTGTACCATCTCTTGTGCAATTAAAACATGGTCTGCAATGTCCTTATTCTGCATGAAACCAATTTGCTCTGGAGAAATAATCTTTGGCATAACTTTAGATGGTCTATCAGTCATTACTTTGGTGCAGACTTTACTGATAAAATTAGAGTGACATATAGGTCTGAAGTCTCCAAATGTAGAGGGATGATCTATTTTAGGAATCAATATCACCATACTACTAGAGACCCCTTGGGGGATAGGCAGACCAAAAAAGAACTCCTGCACAGCCCTCACTAAATCAGCACCTACAATGGCCCAACATTTTTTGTAAAATTTTACATTAAAACCATCAGGCTCTGGAGAACTATTTTGATTCAGATTCCAAACTGCATTCTTAACTTCTTCCTCTTGTGGCAGATCCATAAGCATGGCATTATCTTCTTCAAAAATCAAGCTAGGTATGTTTTGAAGGACATCCTCGGCATCAATATTAGGTTCCACTGAGTAAAGGATTGAGAAAAAAGAGACCGCAGCCTCCCCTATTGCAGATTGAGAGCTAACCATATGCCCCCTTGCATCAGTGATTTGTGTTATTTGTTGTTTTCTATGTCTGACTTTCACATAAGAATGAAAGAATTTTGAGTTTGTCTCTCCATCTTGAAGCCATTTAATATGTGCTTTCTGCTTCCAATACTTTCGTTCAAGTTTATATTTGGCAGTCAATAGAGCTTTTAGATGATACCATTTTTCTTTATTTTCTGCACTAGGACAGATTTCAAAGTCCTTCTCAGCCGGCATAACCATCTCATCACAATTTTTAATACCTTCAAAGATGTTACCAAAAGTCTGTTTGTTCCATGATTTGAGATCTCTTTTGAGACACTTAAGCTTATAGACTAGACCTTTCATCCCACCACCTCTACAATTAGCAGTCCAACTTTTCTTTACTGTATCAAAAAAAGTTGGATGATTAATCCGCACGTTTTGGAATCTGAAAGCTCTAGGACTAGACTGATCATCAGAAAAGCATCTAATGAGGATAGGACAATGATCAGAAGGGTTTTTTCCAAAACATCCACCTGTATATATTTGAAAGAGTCACTCCAATTAGAATTGAATAGGTATCTATCTAGCCTCCTCCATACCCAACCATTTGCTCTTACACCAGACCAAGTGAACTGAGGACCAGAATATGTTGGCTATATAAAATTACAAGCTGCTATGCAGTCAGAAAATTCAGCAATGCTTTTCAAATCTGGTAAAGATCTACCACTTTGTTCACAATGAGCTGCAATGGCATTAAAGTCCCCTCCTATCAGCCATGGGTCCTTCATATTTCTAGAGATAGTGATCAGAGAGTTCCATAAATTCCTCCTTTCCATAATAGTATGCTTACCATAGATTAAAGTAAACCAGCCACAAAAGTTCCCTTTTTTATCTTCATATGTGCAAACTGATCATGCCAAAATACATCAGAAATAGTAACTACATCAGGGTCCCAAAAGACCCACATTTTATTTGAAGAGGAAAAAATGACATTATGAAAACCAAGATTTTTCTTAAAGAAATCAGTTCTAGAAGAATCAACAATAGG